ACAGCCTAGATAGGTTCTACAGACAAGACTCGATAATCGCTGCATTTAGAAACTTCGCCTCAACAGCCAATTGTCATGTTACTCTAGTCATACACCCACGCAAGGTAATGCAACTTTACAGAAATTTTAACAGTTTAACAAATGTCAAGAGATAAAACAGGAAAGATGTTTTGGTGTGTTTCTTCTGGAGTCTCAAAAATGAAGCTTAATGGGGTGGGTAGCCAATCTAAATTAAAAAAAAAATTGGATTGAGATTCCCTTGGTTTCTTATTAGTAGGGAAGCCCTAGTTGCCACTACCTTTAATTTCATACTGCAGTAGGAATAGAGGTGTCGTTACGTTAGAAGGGCGTTACGAGTACAAAATTCAATATGAATATAAACAGACAGAGGAAGACGATATGACCACCTTGTCTGCCAGTGTAGACTTTACTTTAGCCATGTCACGTTTGCTTATGTCAACGTCATTTAGTCTACTTTGTGTTTCATGTCAAAGTATGTCTGTTCAATGATTCTGTGTCTTGCGTTGTGTGTGTGTAATTTATTGAACTGCTGACAACCTTCGAATGACGTGACTACTTAACACCTTGTAGGCCTGATGATGGTTAAAATTAAGAGCCGAAACTATTTGCCACTGCAGCAACCAAAAATTTACTATATGCGGGTATCATAAACAATTTTTAATACAGTAATTCGGCTAAACCAATATTTGAAAACAATATTTCTTTGAAGAAATGTTAAAAACATAAGTTTAAAAAATTAAAAACCTTGGATTTTTATGAATTTATTCCCTTTAATGAACTTTTTAACCCTTCGCGGACGGGTGACGGATATATCCGCCCAAGTCTTTGGCGATAAAGGACGAGTGATGGATATATCCGCCCAAGTCTTTGGCGATAAAGGACAGGTGACGGATATATCTGCTTATGGTTTTTGATGTTCCGGATGGGAAGCCTTCTCTTCAGACGGACTGGCAGGTGCTTGAGCAGTAACCAGATGTTTCGCGGTACCAAGGCGCCACTTTCCTGCTCTCTCCATGGCTGCGCTCTCCCCCGCACTCCCCCCTCTCTCGCGCCCCAACCCCTCTTCTGCGTCACCCCCCCCCTCTCTCGCGCACCTACCAGTATTCCTAGGCTCCTCTCTCGACGTTTCGCGCTCAACATTATGCTGTCTTTATTTATTGTTTACATATTGTTCTTTATTTATTGCCTAACGTTGTCATGGTCATATCTTCAAATACGGGTGGCGGATATATCAGCTGCATTTCTACTCATTTGCGGACGGGTAGCGGATATATCTGCATAATTAAAAACGAGTAAAAAATTATTTTGACAGTATGAAGTGTATAATTGTGTTTATTTTATCTATACTTGTATAACAAAACACAAATAAGGAAAATTAATTTTTATTTTTTCCTCTAATTTTTTCCCGTCCTATGTCACGATTTAGCCCAACTGGGAAGAGTTAAGGTTTAGTAAACCAAATGACATAAAAATATTTGTTCATTAGGAGAGAGACGCAGACATGTTGAATATGAATTCTGTGTTCGGTGGAGTGAAAGCCACCCAAGAGGCTGACAATGTTCTCATAATACAGCAGAAGACGCTTCAGAACTTGAAATTGAAGAAGTTTTTACAGGTAAACCTAGCATAATATATTCAATTTATTTTGAGAGCTTGATATTTTTTAACCCTCCGAGTGCTAAGCATCGCAAAAGCAACACACAACATACCCGGTGGTGTTATGCGTCACTTTTTCGGCTTATAAACATCGTTTAGGGTGAAGGCTCTGGGGCTGACTGAATTTGATTGTATTGGAATGAGATTGGTATTGTTGTTTTCGGCAGATTCTAAGCTTTCTCCTGATGTGTATTTCTAGACGCATTCCATCTTAGTTCCGATCATATTGTAGTAGACAGATGACGTGCATATTTGTTAACATCTTGGTTAACCTCACATCGATGACTAATGTGTTTTATTACGTTTATCGTTGATTTTAGTGATACAAATAAAAAGTGTAATTTATGTGTAAATTATTAAATGTGCGAAATCTGTTTTTCACACAAACCTTATTTATTTGGAAATTTACTTCCTTATATGATTATATTTTTTAAATGCTCATAATATTTAGAACAAAGTGGCTATTTTAAAATATTTGTAGACCTAAAATTATAAAAATTTATTGAGCGCAAACCTAAATTTTTTTAATTTATTTTATAATTTTTGAAAAAATGTTAACCAAAAGATTGTTGACATTTTTTTATGTTTTATATATTACATTGAAGCCCATAATTTTCAAAAATATATATATATATATAAAACAGTATGCTTTAGAGTGTTTTTTTAAGTTTCTAAGATACATTTAAAAAAAAAAAACCCCTGCAATTAGGAAATAAATGGGCCAACATTAAAACCTTTACTAAGCTTTACATATTTGTCCTGGACTCTTGGAGGGTTAAAACTAAAAGGGTTGGCGCAGCCTCTTTCAACCCTTCATTTACCCGTCCCAAAAAGATAAAGATGTCAAAGACCTTAGCTTCCCAGTGGCAGCAATAAAATAGTTCAACAGCCTACCAGGAGACATCAGAAACGTTTAAAACATCAGTACATCTTGAAAATATACCAATTTGCGTTAAAATATTTAGATAATATGCCTCTTAAACATGCTTGCTATTTCAGTTCAAAAAATTTAGATTGTTATTGACATGGTCTATCTGGGACCCTGGTCAATGAAAAAGCATCCAAAGGATAGTAAGATTGTATAACTCTTTACCAACATCAAAACAAAGTCTATGTATTTTTACTGCCTATCAACAATAATGTATAACATTTTGTTTTAGATTGCCAAAAACCGATATTGCGGGGATCTTGGGGTGATGCCATTAGATTTTGATAAGGACAGTCTCAGTTTTTCTGTGAAAAAAGGACAAAAGAAAGAAACCAGCGACAACAATGATGACAGATGATTGTCATCTATTTGAAATGTGAAACTATGGCCAAGCGTTTAAACCAAAAAGTGAGTCTTTACTAACTTGTAAATATTGTAAAGTGTAGGTACCTAAATTATATTTTCTGTAAACTACGTTTTAACTTTTCAATTTCTTGAAACCTTTCTTGATTCTGGTCAGTTACAAACCTAGGTACTCATTAAACCTAATGTTATTGAAATAGATTTATTTGAAAATCAAATCAGGCAAATGGAAATCCGCTTAATCTGCACGGCAGGAGTATGTTAGTAAATACTAGCCGCTATACCCCTGCCTTGCAAGGGGTCAAGATGCAGAATTTTGGTTCCTTGAAAATAATGGCAAGCAGCTTAATTTTAAAATAATTGAAGCAGCTGTGTAGCCAAACACCACTAAATTTACCACAATGTATAAAACAATATGCCATTATCAAGTTTATTAAAAATAAGAATACATTTATTTCTAACACCAAAGCATGACACACAGATCATAAAAGACTGTGATCATAGATATAACAATAGGATACAAAATCAATGTACACTTTTTGTCGTCGCAGTACCTATTAAAAGTCAATGATAGATTTTAAGGTAAAAGCCGTCACAATAGTCCGAAACCTAAAAATACTGTATTTTAACCCTAGCGCTGGCAAACGCCGGATATACGGCGCGAACGGCCGCGGCCGAAATGGCAACGCCGGATATACGGCGCCAATGCAGGTGTTACGGTAGGCCTATAGATTTTTTTTTTTTTTTTTTTTTTTTTAGTTTTGTTTGCTTTTTAGGGATACTTTTGTAATAAATAAGTTAAATAATTCAAACCAGAGTACCCTGGAATTATATATTATGTAAGGTGTACGGTTTTGTACATGACCTGGGTTGGATGATTATTTGGTACTAGCGCGGGGGTACGATCAACATAATAATAGGGCTATCAAACAAAATATACTAAGTAAGCTATATAAACTATATATTTTTGGAATCAGCACAAAATTTACTACAATTTTACAATTTACCTTATGATGATAAGTCTAACCTGCACTTAGCTACACGACGGAATATAAAACATTTTATAAAAAAATTAATAATGCCTGAAATTCGGAAAAACTAAAAAAAAAATTTTTTGGTGGTAACCATGTAAACCACCTATATTATTGTTCTTTGTTTTATTCTGAACAAAATGATATATAATAACCCATAGTTATGTTGCTATTTCTAATTTTTATGATGGTTTAAAAATGATATTACATAGTTAATAAAATCCCTATGCCAGTACAGCGTTACACTACTGCCAGCTCTAGGGTTAATTCTATTACTGTTTCCAGAAAAATATTTATCCGTAAAATAATTCTGGGAACTGAACGAATTGTATACTAATATTAACATATTGTTTGACAGTTCTACTTAAACATTCGAGCGAGTGATATCATTCATTTATGTTTATGATACATACATACCGTTTCTATTCTAATATTCATGCAGTATTTAATTTAATATGTATATAAATGTGTCCAAAATCGCACAATACAGAGTTTTTGAACATTTATTATTATGCTAAAAAATAAGCGGAAAGTAAATAAAAGAAACGTCTTATAACAATTAAAACAGACCCAATAAGCAAATGATAAAAGCACGTGGATTTGTTGTTGCGTGGTAGTAAAACTTAAAATAAATGTGTCCAAAATAGCACAATACCGAGTTTCAATTAGCAATCAATTTTAGCCAATAGCTAAAAACATTGGCAAAAATCAAAAATGTTTTCAATACTGCTTTAGTTGTAAATAGCTTAAATCCCGATCGATGCTCTCGTATTTCAGGAGAAGGCCGCTTGAAATGTCTTCTGGGCCAAGACAGATGGACAGAAATTGAGATAAGACTTGTTTTGGCTTCTTTAATGTATAAAATGTAAAAATAACCAAAAAATATATAATTTTGAGCAATGTACAGACAAAACTCTAATTTTCTTTATATAGATGGATATGCAACTGCTAACTGTATTGTACATTTTTCCAGACAGGGATTTTATAGAATAAAGCAACATTATATTTCAATCAAGTATATTAAGAATCATTCAGAAAAGTAGTTACAAAATTATATGTGAAAGATAATATGGGTTTCACAACGTAAATATTGAGGAAGACTTAAGATATTGCAATCATTAAATAAAACTATGAACATTGAACAACTGTCATGAAATGTTAAAAGGAGTCACATCCACAACTAAATATAGTTACCAAACAAATAAATAAATAACAATAAATAAACACAATAAGTATTGTTAGCACTTACATTCTATGCATATAGTAACATTTCTCCTTAGGCCTAATAATAGTTGTTACAATCAATAATTAGTGTGGTGTTAACAAGTTAATTTATTAATTGACTACATATTTTTTACATTCTTACGGTAAGTGAAGTGGATGCAGAATTTACATTCAGATTTCTATTCAAAGCTTATGCTTGTTATCTTTGAACTTTGTCAAAGACTCCCAAATTCATTTCTTGTTAACCCTTAAAATTCTCTTTACTTAATGCACTCTTTGTCTTATATTCTTTTCATTGTAATGTAATACAATGTACTAAATTTATTGGCACAAATAGTACAAAAAATTGAAAATAAGTTTTTTTGTATATTTAAAATTTAATAACAATACAATGAAAGTTTGTGGTGAAAGTAAAAATAATTAATCCATCCAAACGAGCATATGCTTAATATTTGGATCTACTAAGAACTTATTTGAACCTTTACTGCATCAAACATATGTAATTTTATTTGCTGGATTAATACATAAAGACATAAATGCAACTGGTATTATGTTTAGTTTGCAGGTTTGCTGCTTAAAAAATTATTACATTACCAATTATTAAGAGGTATTATAGGCACTTTTAGTGTTTACGGACCTAATAGGACAATGACAATTAAACCTCCATGGAACCTAAGGTCTATACTTTTTAGATGTAAAACAATTTGACACGCATTATTCTGGCACCCACATAAAGAGACCTAAAAAAATAGTATACTTCATACAAGAACCGAAAGTAACATTTCTATGTGTATGCTCAAGTTTCATGTGTGAGGAAAGATAAAAACACTGGAACATTACATTTCACGTGCTAGGTGAAGCTAAGAATGTGAGAATGAGTTTCACATACAACGCTAAGACAAGGACAGGAATAATTGGAGCTAGTGTCCAAAAAATCACTTTTGGTTCAAGTTATGAACAATGCTTTTTATCACAATGTAAATTCCAATTTTGTTTACATTTAGATTGTTTAAACAGTAAACACTGCTTATTTCAATTATAATAATAATTAGTAAAGTGAATGCGTACTGGGGAGCGATCTGTTCTAGTGGTAGAGCGGGGCTTTGGAGCCCCAGGTCCCGGGTTCAAATCCCGCCAATTCGCAATGGATTTTATCTATGTTAAAATGCCACACCCTTTAGAACTAGCCTGAAGTAATGTGTAAACAGTTACGGGCTGTAACTTAGCGTCCTAGGAGGTGGGACTTAAAAAAAATGCATAAAAACCAGGGCACGTAGGGGACAAAAGGAGAACTGATTAAGAACAATACAAATCAGCTGATTGTTTCTCCGTTGCTTTTAATTATAGCTTTGGAAACAATAATTTTTTTTTTATATCAGCTGTTATTGAAAATAGCTACTTTCTGTACAAAGTGATGAAAAGACCATTCCTCTTATCTTCTCCAAAGTTTCTTTCCTATATTGCAAAACGTAAATCAATGAATGTAAATTCTGAGGCACACAATTTTCTAGACAGAAAGTCAACATGCAGTAAACTCTCATAAAGAACAACAGGAAAAGCAGTCTATCTGTATATCGTGAGCAATTCTAAGGCGGAGCTAGTGCGAGTGATTGTGCAGTTAAACTTGTGTCGGTTCTTGAACTGTTTACAGCCAAAAAAATTTCATTGTTGCAACACCAAAGACGTTTAAGAACACGTTTTAGTCACAAAGTGCCAGTTTCAAAACAGTTCAGGAACCATCAAAATGCTATGTAAGCATCTAACTCATTGTTAACACAGAATACTTAACTACTTACAATCTTAGTAATTTACTACCAAGAAATTATACCAAGAGTGAATATTTGACTGGTTAACAGATTAGTTATACTCAATACTATTATCTACACCTAAGTATTTAATAATTGAATAGTAAAAATAAAACTTTTATAAATATGCGCTAGTAAAAATATATATGTTATATCCTAAATATATTTTGTAGTTAAACATTTACAAGGCCAAAATCAAATTATTAAAGTCTGTTACACTGTACACAAACATTTTTGTTAACTTCACAACTCAATTAAATATGGTGTACACAACTAAAACTAATGATTAGACAAAATTTTCAAAAATAGAACAACCTTTTTTGTCGATGTTGATGACAAAATTGATTTATTAAATTCGTTGTTGATCAGTGTTAGATTTCAATATAAATAAATTAAAACTACTTTTGGTTATAAATGTAAATAAAAACAGAACACATTAAAACAAAAATTTCACTATCAAATTCGAAATTGAAAGGATTAACAACACATAAAATCTGTATACACAACATAAAATAAATGAACACAATCACACATCGATCCATAACTTGACAGTGGTCAAAGTTTTGGATCAATAAAAAGTTAGTAACGAACCAATAGAGTTGATTAGACTTTGAGATGATAGTAAGATGAAGGATATTGATAAGAATATTTATCTTCACCATCAAACAACCAATAATACTGCTTAATTCAATGACAAATGCACAAACAGATGCCATTACAGGTTATGACACGAAGGATTACGATCTACATTTGTCTTTAAACTTTGATTAGTAGTCAACAACTAGACTTATTGTGGTATGAATAATTCAAATTCTAAGAAAATAGTAATGAAATTATAATATCTAGCTAAATAATGCCCGACTAAGTAGGGGAATTTGAGGTAAACAATATTAATCATTAAATAACAAACAAAATCGTTGAATATTGCCGAGTGCTTTCAATAGTAGTCTTGAAGCGTCAAGGAAGGGAGTGGAGAAATTTATTTTCAAACTAAGAGTTATTACTAGAACCTAGAACACAAATGGTAAAACAGTAAGTACATGACTAACAGTTTTGTTAATTTAGGCGACAATAATTGATTAATGATAAAATAAATTAGCGCCAAACTAATGCTTAAAACCTAAAGTTGAAGTAAACATATTATTAAAACAGCCTGTGGTTATGACGAAACACTTGATCAGTTATTTATAACATCCTCTTCAAAAATATTTTGATCCAATATAGCAACATGATAAACGTAAATGTATTGTATTGTAACCTATATTGTGTATTCATCAGCATTTAATTCTTTGAAAGACAACTAACATGAGCTTTTTATTTACTTGGAAATAAAATTCTCATGAGTTATCCGTGAATTGTGGGTGGATAAGGATAGGTTTTAAGTTGAAGTTCTACAAAAAAAACACAAGATTTTGATGCAACTATCAACTATAAGACTAATAAAATGAGTTTTTCTATGGTTAGAAACAAACATTGAAATTTAGTTCAATCATTAAGAATAACAGATTTTAAAACTCTAAATCAATAACATGATTCAAATATTGAGTGCGCACCAATCTTTAAGTAAACTAATACGGCTTTCACAACAGAAAATTAGCCACATGCACCTCAATAAATTAGTTTGCTATAAAAGACTTGCAAACTATGTTGTAAGCTTAGGACGGTGAGTGGTTTGTTAGTCTAGTACGTAGTAGCAACTTCAAGGTATACAGGGTTACAAAAATAAACATGGAGCTCTGGCAGGGAGCAGTTTGTGGCACGGCTATTGCACTGATATGGCACTAAAGGCACTGCTCTGTCTGCCTGCAAAACAAGAAAAATTGTTGTTGATATGGTATTGTCACACATTACATTGTATCCTTATATCAAAACCAGAATAATTCTGAGAACGTGTTTTAAGTTTTTAGTAAATCTAACATTTTCCTCAAAATTCACAGCAGAAAATAGTTCAGTATAAAAGACTGCTACCGCAGGGTCCTCACTCAAATGTGAAAATGAAATGCATGGTATACTTCAAGTTTTTTTACAGTTAAATAATATTAGTGATGTTATAAGAGTCAGACAGGATGTTTTACATATGGTGCATGCAGAATCATTGCAGCTCATCGTAGAACTCAGGCACAGTAAATATATGAAGGGAATGTCTACACCAACGTTGTTTTCTTTGAATATACAATGAATAAAAACAAAGTGGTTTATAACTAAATAGGAAGGCTGACTGTACATAAAACACTTTTGAAAACGTAAAACGAATGATTTATCAAAATAGACCCGTTTGCTCCGTTCTTATTGCAAAATATAAATGATTTTGGCCTCTTTAGGGATGCAAATCGTTGTACATTGAAGCAATGGTAGCTTTCTACAAAGTTCCTGTCAAAAACTGATGCTTAGACTTGGCGAATGTCCCTTGGGCTCACCTAGTACTGGTACCACGGCTGGCGGCGCACCCAGCGCAGACGGATGCCAGCGTCTGTCCTGATCTTGATGGACGCAGACTCTGCAGCTCGTACCGTCTCTTTGACAGACTGCATCAGGTTCTGCGCGTTGCCTACCAACATATCTGTGGCCTCTTGGTCCTCCTCCGTACCTGTCAAAATACAATGTTGTAACAAACATTGAATAAGCTAGAAACTAATAGGTTATGTTACCTTTACCCTCTATTTTAGTTTTTCCAATAACTATAGTTTGAAGGCCGGGAATGTCTCATTGACAAATCTCCTGTCTTCTCAGTTGAACACCTGTCACCCTAAATGAACTAACATAAATGGTTCATTTATACATGCACAAGATAATTCACGTAAACGGAACATTTGGGGCCAGTAAAAGATAGGAGATTTGACAATGAGATATCCTCATCCTTAAAACTAAAGTCATTGGAAAAACTGAAAGAATTGAAAAAAGTAAAAGGAAACATAACCTACTTATTTTGAGGTGATTTTCAATCCAGGAAGCAAACAATGTAAATAAGTGTGAAAACCCCCCTCGGTGTAAATCAGAGGTGTTAAGAGTCAAACGGTTTAGTGAATATTCACAATAATAATCAATTTTACGCACCAAAAATCATGATAACTTACAGGTCTGCTCTTTAAATAAAGACTAGAATATCTGTAAGCCGTTACATTTGTCCAAGCCATTTTTTTTTTAAGACAAAGATTTTGATTTAACCTTTGTAAATCTGCTGTTATAATATTTTAATCTTAGTTAAGAAATAGAATTTCAAGTACGACTTGAGTTTTTGAGATCCATCTCATTAACCTTAGGAACAGAAATCAACTTGTAATTATTTATAAACAATGTAGATTTAAAAAAAAACATCAATAGCAGGCAACTTGGCATTTGAACAAGCTACCAGATTCAATGCTTGAGTTCCTTACAGCAAGTATTGTATACCGCTACTTTAAAATTAGCTACCCAAAAATATGTTACAATTTAAACTATTCATATGTTGTTTCTCAATACCCTTAATGTTTATTAGTATTTACTCAAGTAGCCAAATTAGTTGTATGTTGTTTTATACAAGTCTTTTATTCAGTACCTAATTTACCATTACATGGAATTTTATATACATTTAATACGTCCATTGAAAAAAAATACACACACATATGCTAACAAAGTAATAAAACTTATCTTCATTAGGTTGGTAAAATTCTATAGGATTTTCAAATGGTCCTGGCAATAACTACTTTAGACTTAACCTCGAGGTGTGCGAGTTTCTAGATTTTTTAACCGAGTGAATGTCGAGAAGTTGAATGCTAAAGCAAGAAACCAACCTCAAGCTGAGGGTTTACGATTGTGATAGAAAACTTAACGCTTTTGTCGCGATTGATGATGACGATACAACTTCTATGATCGCGGGGATGATGATGATTTCCCCACGGCGATCAAGGAGACGAATTTTATGTCTAAAAGGCTGTGATATTCAGGAATTTTCTGGGATTGGGGATAGTAATGATGATTTCTCCAAGAATAGGATTATGCAGGGATCACAGGAGACGATACTGTTTCCGTTCAGATGATATTAAAGATTTCGCAGTAATCGTGGTAGTCGATAATAATTTTTCCATTACTGCGATAAAGATGTTCAATATATTGCCATGATCGCGTGATACGATAATAATGACTCTGAGAACAACAAAGATAACCAGTGTTTTACTGTCATCGCGGAACACAATGCTGATGTTTCCGTGACTGCGGGAGATTAACAGGATTTTTCCGTGATAGCAGTCGAGTGATGATGTTCACACGTCCAAGGGGAATGATATTATCACAATATTATCAGGATAACATTATGACAAGTGAAGATCATGCCAAATTTTATTATTACTAATACTGCTTGTTTAGATACAACTTGACATTAAACTGACTTTTGAAAAGAGTATTTGTGAAAAATTAATTTATCATATGGTATTATGTCAAACTTATTATAAAAAGGCTCGAGGATCGAGCTTTTTTGACTCGATAAAAAATCAAAGGTTCGCACACCTCTATAAAACTTCTGCTTCAAAAGTTTTTGCTAAAATTGTAAACTTTAAATTGAAAGGGTTGAGTCAGTAGATATTCATTGCAGAGCATGAAACAGCACTAAAAAAAAACTTACAAAATGGAACAATTTTATAAAGGAAGGAAGGACTTGTAATTCCAGTACCATACATTTCTTTTAGACAAATGCAAAAATATTTACTTTGGCAGAATAAATTGTCACAGAAATAAAACTCATAAAAAAATACTTAAATCTTAACTCTTGTGGAATACAAACGTCACAAATTAAACATATTGATGTAAAGTGAAATTAATTATCTTAATCTTAGACATCAAAGCACTAAATCTACACAAAAAACAACATTTAAGGCTTCTAGCTAAGGGTTGGGTATGTAAAACACTAAAAAAAGGTGACAATGACACAAGAGTAACTTACTGGCACCGATCATAAGACCTTGAGAAAGAAATGCAAAAAACATACACATTACAGCTTGTTAATACCTTGAAAAACGTGGCATTCAAATGTAAAATAAAAAATCTAACATTATTAAGTAACACTGAAATAACGGCCAGAAACACATATCTACAAAATCAAGTTAGTTTACAAAACTAATTTGTTAGTTATTATCCATCCAACTCTTATCTAAACACACAATTCTATCACATTAATTTCGTTTTGCACTAATTCATGCACACATCTAAGATGCATAAAAGTCGTTTGTGAGAAAATAAAAATGCAAATGGTCGTGTACAGTTAGAAGTAAGGCCATTGCAACGTAAAGCCACTTATTATGTACAAAAGTCTTGAGAGTTATTTTAACAAAATTTATAATTTACTCTAATTTTTTAGCTTTAATAGAAACCATAAATTATTAATCAAGTATCACTTATGTAAAATTAGTAAAGATTGATCTATATTATTATTTTTTTAACATCATTCTTAATCAGCTAAGAATTTTGAAAAAGAACCTAGAATTGAATCTATTTCAATGGAATTTTGACAGTAAAAAACTTCTGTGCCATGAGCACTATTACAAAAAATAAATAGAAAATCCAAATTTTACAAATAATAATTGTACCTATGTTACCCTGTAATAGAAACACAGGGTAATGAATGTAATGAAACCCCATTGTGTACAATGTTATTTATGCTGTACTGTATTTATTTTTCCACCGAAAATATACGGTTTGGAAAATCATCTGAGACAATATTCGTTGATGTCCAAAAGTTTATGATTCGTTATGGTAGATCTAAAAAGTGATAGGATAAAGTTCAAACCTAAACTTCCAGATGACAGTTTTAATGCCAAACAAAAATCAACAAAACCTTTGCATACAGTCTGTGCAGAAGATGTAGATAATTTCTCAGAATTTAAAACAATGATTTTCTGACCCACTGACAGCACTAACCGAGTGAAAACTATTAGATTCAGTGCATTTACAAAACTCAAGTGTAAACCGAGCACTAAGAGAACGCTCATGCTTCACACCATGCTGAGTGTGTGTATGTTTACCGCCATGTAGCTCCGCCATCTCCGACCGAGGCAGTGTCTCTGTTAGGGAAAGCAATGTTATATACAGCAGACGACACATGGACATCAAAACAAACCAGTTAATATAATCAGCGAAGCCTTCTTAGTAGTTGCAACAGTTTTTTAATAATCTTAACTAAAACGAAATACAAAGGAAATTTTGAATACATTAAAGAAGCCTTGATAGGTTTTTCCACAGCCACTAATTGTAGATTCAAAGTCCACGAGAGTCAATTGTGTAAAAACCACTTCTATTCACCAAAGTTTCTACAACATGTGCAAAAGTCAAGTCACCCTGAAGATGGTACTGTGCATTGAGGCCAAAACGTTGGTGGATGGACGTGTTGTGACATTTTTATACGTTCGACCCCCGAAGACCACAAATCTTCAATAAAGAAGCATTTAATTCATTTAAGGGAACTAAGGAAATATTCTCTGCTTAGCTTTTGGAGAAAAGAACGCTTGACTTAAGAGACAAAAGAGAAGGAACACATACACAATTAACGAATTAACTAACCACAGAAAATAGTTTGACAATTAATTGCATGAACGTGAAAAAATGTTGATAATCAACCCCTCCAAGGGGCTAATTCAGTTTTGTAACTGCATATTCAACTAATTCTTTCTGAAGAAGCACCCTTAGAGGGAAGAAATTTCAAATTGTGTTTTGAACAATTATGCCATCTCAATTGTGTGAAAATCTTATCTTAGTTAAGTTACCTAGTTGTATCTGTTTCATCTTCCTTTAACACATTAGCTACCAACAATACTCATCCCTCAGTTACAGAGGAGTGTGACGGTCGGTAGGGAACATGTTAAGTAATTTGTAGGCCAAGTGTTCTATCCTTCTTAAACGAATTGTAGTAATTATGTTCTGTCTTTGACTATTAATATTAATTCAGTATCCAATAGTCAATGGTTCCGTGCATTTTGATATTTCATTTGCAATTAATGGAGAGCTTTAACTGAAAGAAATTGATGGATGTAGATAAACTTGTGGTACTAACTAACCACTGTTACAGTTCTTTTTACATTAATCTTACTTGTTTTTGGCGAGTAGACTACTGAAGAAATTCAACTGGGTTTAAAAATTTGTTTCTAAACCTTAGCTTAAAAAACAAAAGTGTTTTTTACACTACAACTTGTGTATTTACATGATAAATTATATTTAAGCAATAGTTTAAACAAACATTTACACTAGCACACTTGGTGAATGAAAAATAATTAGTTATTGCATCAAAATTTTTAGCAAGAAAAATTAACAGATTGAAGCAGTTAATTAATCAAGGTAAATAAAATGGCAAGGATCAACACTATATTGTTCCTTGCCTCCATCCAGCTAACTAGATTTATTAGTACATTAAGTGCAAAATACTTGAGTTTTGCAGTAGTAGAGAAATTAAATTAGCAATAAACACATGACTATATGACCAAATATTTTATTGTTAGCCTTTTTACTCCATATTAGAACCAAAACTGAGGAGAACCAATAGTAAAGACTGCTTACCAACATGGTAGATTAAGGAGAAACATAGATTTGTCAATTTTTAAAATGTTTCGGGTACTATAGGTTAACATGAAAATGAACCATTTGTAATTATGCTTCATTTATACTTTCAACACACAAATTTGTTGACAAAATTATTGACACACTACCGGAGTCAATTTACGGAACAGAAAAATCTATAGGCCTATATAAAATAGGCAAGCACGATTTTTGTCGGCAGAACTCCAAATAGGCCCTTTTATAACTTGTAGCAAATATGGTTTTTTTTATTAAGATTGGAGCTATGCAGCCTTTACTATATGTTCTCTGCAACCCTGAGTTGTACCGTAAACGCTTTCCGAGATATTTTAAATTCAGTATACTGATATTCTAAATTTACATGATTCACTCAGTCATAAACTAAGCTACAAAATTATGGATATGACCCCCTAGTAATTATTTAATACTTAATGAAGGCGTACATCTTTTTCAATCATCAATACACTAATTAATATCCAACAAACACTAATCTGAATTCTCGGTCTTCGGGTAGGAGTCGTGTCAAGTCAGTACTAACATTATTTACAAAACCATACGTTTCGCCCATACTGTGATGGGATGAGGCATCCTTAGTGGCAGTGCTGAGACTAAGAAAATATAACTTGACGACACCACCAAAACGAATGTTTAGTAAAACGTTATTGAAGAAAATACTATATCGAATAAAATTGATAAATTGTTACTGCTATGGCTAAACCAAAGGCCTGTGAAGAAAAATTATGTATTATGGTTTTCTAAGCCTTAGAAACAGTTTAATTTGAACACAAACCTTGAGCTCCGAGCATTGTAGCCTTTACTGTAGAGAGGATTTTCAGCTGGGTACCGATTGTGGGAATCCTTTCACAAACCTGCAGCAAATTCTGTAACAAACGGTTCATGGTTTTTGAGGGATTAAATAACTCTCACACAAAATACATTCAACAAGGATTGGTCCAATATGTATTTGTTCGAGGGAACATCAAATAAATGAAAAATGTTTTAACGTTAATTAGAACAAAATTCGGCTGTGAAATAATTGTTTCATTAGAAACGGATTATTGTAAAGAGCTAAGTAAATATTAAATTAGGCATACACAGTCACGGCCGGTCGACTCACCGTTCTCATGCGTTTGTCAGTACACTCGCGGGCCAGCTCCTTGGCTAGTCTGGTGACTTCCTCAGACGCCTCAGCGATGGCCTTGGCACACGCGATGAGGTCTCGTTTGGTGCCTCCCTCGCCCCTCACCAGCTGCGACAGTCGTCCCATCAGCAGCGCCATCTTCTTGGCCGCCGCGATGATGTCGTTGTCTTTACTAGACCACTGGCGGACTTCCTGGTGCAGTCCGTGGGCTGCCATCTACAATACACATTAATGTAGCAACACAGTGATGTGTATTTTTACCTGAGTATGAGTTAAGGACCAGTTTTGTAACAGACCAGCTGTTTCATCATTACTCAAACTATTTAAAAGCCCAACATCAAACGGATAGCTGGTTCCAGTTTTCAGCTATCCAAAAGCTACTGACTTTTCTCAGGATTGAACCGACGAATTTCTGATTTACATGCACTATTCCAAGACACATTCTACAGGGTAGATCCAAAAACTTTTAAATGCCACAATTACTTAATGGACACAAAGTAAGCATTGCTACTCAATAGATAGTACTGTTATCAGTAGATTTATAGATATCATTACTGTTATTGCAAATTAAAATGGGGACGCCACTAAGGAATATGAAGCCTAAATATAAATGAAGGATGAGAGTAAATGGAGTAAGATGACTTTGTGGATTTTTAATGACTGATCAGCTGTTTATTTACCCAGAGAAAATTACATTAAAAGCCCAATGAACCAATGACAGCCATTTCAAGTTTTGAATCAATAAAAGAAGGTTCTGACTTTTAGATTGAACCAGCAACTTTCTGACTATGTCTATATATACTTTCTGATTTAAATAAATACTACATTAATTGCGTCCATATCTCAGTGTTTTCAAAAGTCACTACGAAACACAGTCTTACCATGATGGGTTGGTTTGGTAGTGGTGCATGCATGAACATGTCATCTTCATCGTCAGTCTCCGCCGGTGGGGGTGGTCGAGGTGGAGGAACTTCACCTCCTGGTAGCGGTGGCCTGGGCGGGGCTACTTCTGTAATGGACCAACTAGTTTACTCACAGTACACAATACATAGCCAAAAAATCCAAACATGCATTGGGTAACATAGCTTGAAGGTCTTAGCAACCTGCAGAGGGGAAAACATTGGTAATATGAAAGATAAAAGTTGTGGAAGGGTTGAAAAAATAATGGTGTATAAGTAAGTCTAACAAACAGAATAAAATTGGTTTTAAATTGTGCAAAAAAGATAGAAAGGTTCAAAAAAGTTAGAGCAAAATACTGATGCATCATTTTGTAGCTTCAATGGTATAGATTGAAATTTAGATACTGAAGACGTCTGTAAGGACCAGCTGATGCCAATTTGGTGTTAAAATACATCATATTTAGCGAGCCACTCACAGATTGTGTGCTACAGTCAAAATTATATTTTCTCTGTTATTTTCTTATACTTTGAATGATGGGATATAGAAGGTGATATTGTTTACAGTAAGTCATTCATTAAGTTTAGTTTGGTAAAAAAAATTGCACATTCGATAGAAATGAGTAGGTAATCTAAATCAACGTGTTCAAATTAGAGTAAGGGTGGTTCAATCCAACAACGTAAATTTGCATCTAAAACTAGAAACAGCATTTACATAGGAATGGGTCTCACTCAATTTATAAAAGAAGCCTTTGATTTTGATAACCTTGCCATTGAACTGCTTCAAATGCAATTACTGTAAATCAAATCAGTGTTTGCCATAAACTTGAATAAATAATAATTGTTTCCAAATATATTGAAAGTTATTTTACCCAACACTAAGTTTTAGAATTCAGCAAATAAATGTTTTCATGCTTGCAATAAATTACTTTCATCAAAATCTTTGTCCCGGAAAACAAAAATCAGGCTGTACAAAACAATAATTTGCCCAGTTCTCCTATATGGATCAGAAACCTGGAAATTAAATAAAAGAGATGAAAAGAAACTAATAGTATTCGAAAATAAAATTTTAAGGAAGATTTTTGGACCAATATTCGAGCTAGGAGAATGGAGAATAAGACACAATAGGGAATTAAGGCAACTGTATAATAGCACAGATGTAATTGGAGAAATCAAGTGCCGAAGAATCAGATGGGCTGGTCATATATTAAGAAGAGATGAAGATTGTAGACTGGGAAGAGTTTTAAAGGGAAACACTACAGGAAGGCGACCCCGGGGAAGACCTAAGCAGAGGTGGTGGAAGCAAGTGCAAGAAGATTTGGAGAGAATTGGGGCAACGGAGGATGATGCGAAAGACCGGTTGACTTGGCGAGGATTTGTTGGTGCGGCCAAATATCACCTCCGATATAAATGGCCCTGGGAGTAAGAGTAAGTAAGTAAGTTTTAGAAAAGTAAACGCAAAACAACTATTTACAACCTTAATATGTACAATTACTAATAATTACTTGTTATATTGTACAATATGTAGCAAGGTTTTGTTGAAACTTTCAGTCAACACAAGTGTAAACGACTGAGAAAATCTGAAAAATTGGAACCAAGACAACTGTACAAGTTTTCTACAAGACAAATGTGGACTTCAAACTCTTGAAATCTTCATTCCAAAACAAATATGTACATTTTAGGATTTATAACATCAGAACGGCCAGACAGTAACTACTAGTTTGTAGGCCTACTAGTTGGTTGGATTGGATGAAGACTTCTTAATTCTACAAGGGATTGAATTGAGTTGGGGGAGGATGTTTATAAACAAGGGTTGTGGCAGAAACTTTCAGCATACATCCAACCACAGGCAAACTTTAAGGGATAGAAAAAAAGGTATGTACATTGACAATAACATTTAACAGGAAAATACCATATGTTGGATATGATAGTTATTTTTTTAGGAATTATAGCTGAAAGTTTCCATCCCTTTTCCTATTTTATTTGGGAAACAAATATTTTTATTTCAGAAGATATAGGCTGTATTTGAGAGTAGTCAAATATATTTAAGCAAATATAAAATGAAGTTGAGAACAGTCAGGTTTTTTTTAGAAGGCATTAAATTAATTTAAGAGCAGTAAATTATATTTAAGAAATGGTTAAATGTAATTGAGAACTTGTCATTTGATAATGAGAAACTCAAAATTCAGCTGATTAATACCCTTCATTCTTAAATGATATTAACGATTTCTCAATTTAATTCAAAACATTCTCAAAATCAATTGACCATTCTCAAATAAATTTGTCGCTTAATCAAATTCAACTGACTGATCTAATTTACATTTGACATTTTCCCAAATACAAGTAACGACTCTCAAATACAATTATCAACCTCTCACTTACAAGTGGAAAAGGTGTAGACTGGAAAATAAAAATTTTACACAACTTTTCAAGGTCAACAATCAAATCCCACCAGGTGATAAAGTACTTGGAACATATTAACATAACAAATACACAAACCACAGCTTGGAAGTCACAATTAAAAAATCACACAGAGAATACTGTACAAGTGGAGAAACAAAAGAAATCCCTCCCTCTAAGTTGATTTTCTTTGTTTATTTTTTTTATTACAGTAGACTCCCTCTAGTTCGGCTTCGGTTGGATCGGCCGCCGGATGGTCCGGCCCGGTCTCAAGGGGACAAGTCATATGTCACGGGCGAATGACCTTCGACAGGATTGAACTTGAATGTTTAGTTTCCGGCCATAGAAGTAAACAATTCATGTCAGTTTAGTTTGTGGGTGCTTCTATGGGTGAATGGTTGCATATTACAGATATTACCTATTTAAAACTATGTTACATAACCTCAAAAATACCAAGAACATTTTTTATAGATAATTTTTCTTCGGTCTAATATGTTGAAATGCAGTGTATAATTAAATATTTCGGACCACTTTTTTATGCAGTAGGTTCCCCCATTATTGTTTTTGAAACACCCAATTTATTTGACAAAAATAAATTAAAGCAAAACAAAGGCTTCAAGGTCAAGCTATCCGCTTGCACTGACAATTATCTGCTCACACAAACTGATGTCTGCTGTGCACTTGCTTGCTATCTCACAACAGTTTGTGATTGGGTGATTAGTAACTATGGTAACTTGTTGAATGTGTGGATGAAGAGAAACCAAAGAGGCAAAGAAAGAATAGAAGAACAAAGAAGAAAGAATAAGCGGTGTTTTACGTCATCCATTGTTATCTTTATCATATTTTACGACTGTAATAAGTACTATAATTTTATGCTGTTTTATGAACTGTTAATGTTTTTATCGACATTCTTATGTTCTGAAACAACATTTAGTAGTAGCCTATGCTGACTACGGTAGCTTGCAGTACTAGACTTTCTATTGTTCTGTTCTTTACGTGATTTATTGCTATACGTACAGTGTTGTGTAATTTTTGTTTTGATTGAGTAAGCGTGATTTTAAACGTTTCAGTTTTTTTTACTGAACCAAGGTTATTGACTTAACATATCACGATTGCGCAATACTATAATTTGTATTTTGGTTATGTAAAATGCACTAAATCCGGTTAGTCCGGCCGTTTTGTAGTTCGGCCAGTGATCCGGTCCCGAGGTGGCCGAACTAGAGGGAGTCTACTGTATTACTAAACAGTTCACCGTGTGGTTTTTTCCATTATGATTTTCCAGTTTTGGCTGGGTTTGTACTAAATCTTGCTATGTTTTTAGGTACTTTTTCACTTGAGAAGAGGATCAGATTCCAGATATCGAAACATCATTGACACTTTTTTCATGGTGGGAAATGTCTGCAAAAATTTCTTTAATTTCATTAGCGTACCATCAATAAAAATGAATTCCAAAGAGATAATTGATCTTAAAAAGACAGGGATAGGACAACACACGACTAGAGTCAGAAATGATTCATCTACGTATAAAATCAAATGACCAGATAAAACTAACACATTCCATGCGGTAAAATGTCCAAGGTAGAGGTCTAGTCTACTGAATTTTTAGGACATTCCGCTATCAGGACCACTCAATACCTGGCAGAGGCCGAGGACTGGGTGGGGCTTGATACGGAGGCAAAGCAAGTGTGCGGATAGCCACAGCTCTGGTCATTGTGGTCGTGACTAGATCATCTGAGTCTATTTTAAGTCATTGACATGTCAGTGACAGTTTGTAATTTGTTTAAATTTCATTACAATGCTACAAAACAGGTTTACACCCAATAACAAAGTAGCTGTTTCACAAAGGTAATGTTGATAAAATAGGTAAATAACAGTCTATAAACAAAAATTTTCCAATAAGCTGAACTAAAATGTACATATAAAGCTTCATTCCAGTAAGAATGTTTTAACAATGCATTTTTAATGGCTGATTTTTCATTAGCAACACCATAATGGCTTAGATTTTGAGGACTAAATTAAAAATTTCAACCATTCAATTTTGTCGATACTGCTTCTCCTAATTATGGAACTGTAAAAGAGCTAAAGCTTTTTGCGAGATATAGTTAAAAACAAAATCTTTGCTAAACTTTAACTTGTTGAAATGCATCAAGAAATGTATTCCAACACTATTTAATTATTGTGAAAACCGACTCCTTTACTTTCCTTTAAGATCTAAAAGATTATGTAACATGTGAGTTGAATGTGTATGTTGTTCATAGAACTTGATTAACACTTGACTAACAAAAAACACACTATTAAGTTTGTTTACCCTTATGAAGGTACAATAGTATATTCCCAATTAACACCTACTTTATATTTGAATTTGGCTGCACTATAGTTTACGTCCTACACTCATTCAAATGAAAAATATCGATGTATAGATTATTCGATATATCGATTATTTCATTCGGTTAGTTAGGTTAGGTCTTAACCTAACTAACCAAACCTGATATATCAAATGAAATAATCGATAAAAATTTAAATATATCGATCGATATATTCATAAGAATGAGTGTAGGACGTTAACTAAAGTGCAGCCTTGAATTTTATCATGTACATTTTTGTTATAAACAAACGTATCTGAAGTTATTTTGAAATTATCTCATGAAAAGAACAAAAAGTGTATTTTAGCTTTAAGGCTGAAAGAAAAATCTGACGGAACATACTATGGATGTGATTTTCTCAAGATTACCTGAATAGTACCAAGGGGTTCCCATTTTTTTAAGACTATACCCAGTTGACCTTTCAATAAGCACCATAAGAAAAATTTGTAAATCTTTCTGAGTAAAACCTTCATGGGCTGGAGGGGGGCTCAATCTCCCTTATGAGACCCCTTATTAAGCACATTTTTTTCAAATTGTGCAGTAAAAATATTAAAGTCGAATAATTCACACAATTCCGGTGGCCAATGTAAGTTTTCAAATTTTGTAAACTGTTTTATATAACTAGAAAACAATTTACTTAATTTACAAAGAAATTTTAGGTTTAAATTTGTAAAATCAACCAACCATTTTGTACCTAAATTTTTATAGTTTTCTGGTAAAGGCCCAAGGACAAACTGTTTTCTTGGTTATTCCATACCCCCCGGCCCTTAGGGAAAAATCAGAATGCCATCCATGAATCCATCGTTAATATATATTAACAATTAGAAAGATAACATCCAAACACAAACCTGATAAGAACTGGTACAAATCCCTTAAGTAACATTTATACACTACTTATGTTACCTACTGAAAGTTGAACGGGGAACATTATTAGCAGTTAGTGTTAAGTTTCCACCACAAGTTAGTACCTTTCTCCACGAAGTAGTTAGGCCGGTATTGCTGCTGTTGGTATCGAGGCTCTTCTGCAAAAATAGCATTACAAGTTACACCTCCACCAAGCTGTGTTACAATATGCGGTCAATGATGAATTTTGATTCTCAAATCCACCGAATCTCATGAAAAGATCCAAATTCTCCATTAGATCGGCTAGATTGAGAATTAAATATTAATTATGATGTTTGAAGGATTATTGCGGAAATAATAGTGTGAAAATCTGTTTTGCATGAGCCAATATCTTGTGAAGACGTGCCTATTTTGTCCTTACTTACCTATGTTCTAACTTATTTTATTATTTCAATTTATTCATAGTCTCGTTTTGTCCTTGGCCGGCCTCGCACGTTTGTATATTTTTGTAAATCTAAATGTTTCTTTGTGTGTTTGTTTATGTATGAAGTAATTTTGACAAAGGCAAGTGCAAGAAGATTATGTTTGACAATTGACAAGAAAAGGTTTTGAAAATGGGGTTTTAACCCCAAAACTAGTCATCCACGACAAATATAGGATTGGTTGACGACAGCTTAGTAACCTTAATTTTGTTTTGTATAGTTTCAAATTGCATTCTGTCTTTTCCATCTTGTTCTGACTACTTTACAGTTTTCTAGGATTGTACTTTGTTAGGTACTTGCTCACATTCCAAATCCCCAGACATTTTGAAACGTGGTGGAAAACGTTCACAATAATCCCTCAAACACCATAAATGCACTGTCACCAAAATGAACTTCAAACAAAGGATATTTATGTACATACGCTGTCTGCCTGCACTTTCAATCCGTTATATAAAATAAACTGTTACTATACAAATAATATGAGTTCAACACAAAGCATCTTATTACATTTATTTATGAAAAACTTATGAAAGAACACAAATGTATATTCTTGCCCAGATTATTTACATTCTAAAACATAAGTATTTTTATTTTTTTTAACGCAGTAAACGCTTTCACAATATACACACAAAATTTAATGTAATAAACAATGGTTTTGAACATAGAGGGATGATAATCAAACTGCTAAAATTAAACATACAATGGTACAGTGTGCCAGGAAATGTGCAGACAGCCACAACAAGAAGTAATACAGAAAGTGTAGTTTTAAAGTATTGCTTAAGCTCAACAAGTTGTACTGTACACTATGCATGCATATATGTAAAATGATGTCAAGGTTTTATCAAATCTAATCTATATTTTTTTATGTTATTAAAATTATATTCAAACCTTTTAAACAGCTTATACAGTTGATGACGTCTTTGAAGCAATGAGTCCAAAAATGATATTCTAAATGGATTGTGGATTCACCTTTATATTATATTTAAATGTGATGGCTAAAATTAAATTCTACGTATATGACCTCATGCATTGTTAAAATAATAACTAAAATATACAGCTAATCCTCTCTGTATGTTACTGTATTAAAAAGCTTACTGATCAAAACAAACATTTGTAGAATCTAATTTTGTGAGCATGCAAATTAGTATCAGCTAAACATGAGGGGAAATATTTTATCAATTGACTAGCAACATTTGTAGTCTGAAGTTTGCAAAAAAAAAATTCATTGAGCTTTAGTCCAGTTGGTGGAACTTGTATTTAAAGTGTTTTGAAAATTAATTCACATTCCTTAAAGTCTTTTCTTCAAATCCTAGGACACTAGGATCTAGTCCAAAACCGTTATTCACGCTAAGCTTGGAAGATTGTAGCATTTTCACATGGACAAAGCTATTTTGTTATCAGCATTAGCTGGGTTTGAGTTGAGTACCTAAGGACCAACGCTCTAGGCTCTACTACCAAACTAACTAGCTTGATCCCTTGATGCCTACAAAATTAATTTCTATTCAATAACACATACATTACTCCTACAAAGACGTCAAGATAGGGTTTTCTCACCAAAAAACTACGCACCTAGGTAGGTCAGATTTTAGTCGGGTAAAGGTAGATAAGCATCAGAAAAAAACACACTGAATTAAGACCAATTAAGGTTTATAATTATTCACCTACTACCAAGACCTTAGTACGTCATATTATGAGCCTATACAATATTTATCGGGGTAGCTGAGTGGTTATAGCGCTCACCTTCAAATCTAAAGGGTAATGGTTGGATTAAGCAAGATCGATTTCGGACCCAGATGGAATTTGACATTGGGCTATTAATAAGCCTAATGATGCTATCAAAGAAAATTTGGTAATACCAGGATTTGTAACAATCTTTTACAAAAAATGCTGATGTTAATGCTAAATGACAGTCCGATACAACATAACAGAGAGGATCAGCTGATGGTGAGTTTGTGAGTTTGGTTACCTGGAGGTGAGTAAGACAGAGGTGCAGGTGGGGGTGGAGGGGGAGGAATCTCTCTCTCCCATCCGTCTACAACAGACTATGTACATTAGTGTGCTCTGTACATTGTACCAGCTCTCTACTATGTCTATTAGTGCCCTATGTACATTTCAGATTACCCACCCACATTTGAAAATCACCCAGACCTATTCCAATCGTGATGGTTAAAATAGGTTCCCACTCCCTGGTTCCTGAACAAAACTTGAATCACGGTAGCGGTTTCCTGATACCTACTGAGAATATCCTTCAGGTACCGAATACCGATATATCACTAGTTTAATAGGCCTTAATGGCAACTGTATCAGGATAATAACAGTAGAAACTCTTTTAACCAGGAGGTCATTTCAGACAACCAAAATGTTATTAGAATTTTTTTTATTCATAGTAATGAAAGAAGACAATGTTGTAACTGTAAGGTTGTAAGTGCCTGTTAACACGTTTGCTACCGATCGCTGCTGTCATTCCCACGGACCGAGGTATACATTTTAATATTACACATAGACCGGGTGTCACTTGATTAACAGTGCACGCAGACAACGGGGCAGTGATGCAGCAAAGTAAAAAACAGTTTTGCCAACTATCATATGACGTCACTAATCATCACATCCACAGACCAAATGACGCACATATGCAACAGACATCCCTGTAGACCACTAAAGAGAATTCAGGCCCTTCAAATAGCCTAGACCGTTACGAAGATATAAGCTTTTTAGTGACATTGAGAAACCGACGAAAATATGGGATGTCAGTCTATTTTAATGTGACCAGCCATCGCATGGCCATTGCATATGTGCGTCGCTGGTCCATATGAATGAAAAATTTAGTACTATTGGGGTAGTGAACGTGTTAAGGTTATATAACACTTTTAAAGAACGTTAAGGATCGATAATGCTTTTTGTAAACTTTTTTTTTTTTTTTTTAAGAGGTTGGCGGCCTCTTTTAACCTTGCATTTGCCCGTCCACATAGACTACAGATCTGTGCGTGGAACGTATCCAGCAAAGCAAGGGGTGAGCCGGTACAGTACAAAGGTGAACTGTACTGATAAAAGTTAGTTGCAGTGACCAGGATCCGAACCCACGACACTTCTGCCTTGGGCCCGAAGTCCGCGACGCTACCGACTGAGCCACCGACTCACCAACTACTGCTGTTCTACTGTTTTTGAACAAATTTCCCACATCTGTTAGGTTTTCTTCCTCTTTATTAGTTTTTGCAGTGACTCCACAACTTTGAATGGCACTGACAAATTGTCATCTATTTTTTTTTCTAATTGTAGCTAACAGACATTGTAAATCATATTGTAGTTTGCATTGTGTATAAGTCCACAGCCTTAACCCAGAACTGGAGCTACCTTTATTCATTTGGTCATTTTACTTCTCTTCCTTTTGATTTTATTTTTTTAGGCCGTTGCAGTCAATTGCTATTTCGGTTAAAAGTGTTTTGGTTGAGTTGAAAGAGGTTCTAATGTAAGCCTATCCTAAACAATTATTAAATGACTATTTTAATTTGTGTTTCCATATCCATAAGAGAAGCGTATAATGGTACAAATGATAGGTACAAAAGTACTAAACTAGTCTATGTTAAACTATTCTATGTAGATTAGCCTACAAATAATATTAAAACTATTAGAAATTATTTTGTTATATAGGACAATTTACACTTAAAATACGAAAAATAAAATAAACACTAAACAGTCTAATCTGTGGTATATTTACAATCATTTGATAACTAATTAGCCTAATTCAGTTTAAGTTCAGAAACATAATTCAGGATTCTTATAAGGAGAGGACTTTTAGTTAGGTAACACTTAAGAAACCTTTGTCTTGACCAACTCGAATATCTATGAGTTCCAAATTTAATGTTTTTTTTTCTGAAAACTCTTTTCTGATTCAGAATACTCACCGTTGATGTGAAGGTTGTTGATATCTGGCATTACAGTAACAGCTCGTCTGACTTGACCAACTGAGTTCAGCAACTAAAAAATATACAAAATAACAATAAACTAACCAGCGTGATATATTTGAGAATGATCATACATTATTGAGTGCTAACTAATAATAAGTAGGCTAAGTGAAGTAAGCTAATAAATCACTTTTTACTAGTTACATAGATAAATTTTACAAGTAACAAATCAATGGAGTTTGGCTTAGAATCTCTGGTCTTGACAAAAAAAAAAAAAAACAGACACTGATTTACAAGTGGATACTTCAGAAACCAATTTAGCAAATGATGACAGATGTTAGTCATCAAAAGAGGATGGGTAAGGGTAAAGAATACATTTAAACAGCTTCAATATACTGAACATTTAAAATTTGACTTATGCCTTAAACTTAAGACAGTTGCAAAGATGCTGTATGGCAAAGGTGACACAACAGCTATTTGACAAAAAAGCAGCTCAACACTTCTATTGGACTTAATCAGAACCAATTATGGATAAAGTGATCAAACTAAAGTTCAGACATTACAAAAACAGTGAAATCAGGGGATTCAGGTTTTTAAGGGATGAGCAGAGAATAGAAATGGACCGGATGATAAAAAGGACAGAAAAACCAATAGGAAAAACCTGGACAGAAACCAGGAACGTAGGAACCTGGTGGAGAATACAGCCAGTAATGTAGGCAATTTGCAAGGCCTAAATCACTAGAGATTTATGAGGATACAGAAGTAAGGAAGAATCAGATTGTTTAGAAAATACTTTAACTTACAGCTCTGTTGGATTCCCTCCACTTAGAAACTGCGGCAGAGTTGTGAGTGTTCATAGCTACAGCTTTAGCATCTTGTACCATGTGGGTGATAGCTGAGGGAAGCATAAAATAATAATTAGTACTTGTTGGTTAAATGCAATACCAGCATTGTTGCATACCAATTCTATTTATGACATGATCATCACTGGTTTTAAAACAATGAAAAGTATACACCCAAAAATACTGCATGTCATAACTGATTTCAATTTGATGTTTAATATCCCGTGTCATTTGGTTGAGGTAATATTCTTTCAGCCCCACCATCAGGATCAGTTATTTAAAACGTTCGCTGTCCATGACAAGTAATCTCGTCACTGCTAGCGCTTTCTAGAGGCTTGCGAAGAGTATTCTTGTCAAAGTGCCGTTTACAAACTATTGTTCTAATGCGAGGTTAGCTGCCGTGAGACGTTGTTTTGCTTGCCGCTTATTGTGCCAGTGTTATACTTCAATCTGGTATCATTCGTTTTCAGATCTGACTATTTTTATAAGTGGTAGGGATTGTTACAGATTTATTGTAGTGGGGTTTAGGCTTGGATCTAATAACATGCAATAGAATAACGATAATGAATGTACTGTAGCATTGTGGAAGGAACCTAACCTCAAAATTATGCTTTACCGCTTTTTTGCAGTATTTTTTCATGTTGCAACCCGGGTACTTCACCCCTGCTTTTTTCCTGCATTTGGCAATACTGAGGGCCGGCTAGCAATATTGTTTAATGCTGCTATCTTTTGGGTTCTTGTAAAACTACGTCCACAACGACTGGGAAGCAGATTATATGCCACTAATTTGGATGGAACTAAATTTAAACTCATCCACACATTAGCTGTTCGCACCACCGGCCACAGCTGGCCTTTGCGCAACCGCATTGAACATGTTAAGGATTCGGTAGAATAAGGTAGAGTTCCAAAGGTGGCAAGCTGTTACTACAAATGATTTATTATTATAACAGTTGTCCTGTGATGGGGAATGCCTAGTGTGAACAAGCTATACTCCATTCACAAATTTAGGCGGTTTGAGGAAAGAAATCTATCTCCTCCAGTTGATCCTACCTTTAAAAAAACAGCTGATTGAGGTTTGTCCAAACATAAACCTGCAACATATACATTAAGCAAAAAAAAATGTAGGAAGAGAACTTCCCCTCGATCCGCCTACTTTTTGTGAACATAGCATATATATACCTCAACACCAAAGTTTCAAAAACTGAGAAATTCTATTTTGATGCCAGTCTACCACAGAACTCATCAAGACTTTCAAGAGACTAACCAGTAGCCTGCTGGAGGCACCATACTTAGAAGAAAGAATTCATCCCAAACAAACATTACTAAATCCAACTTTTTACAGGGTGTCTACTACATTCTGGATAAAAAATTCATGGACAATTCCCGTACATTTAAGGACACTTTGCCGTAACCTTTGTCGGTGTCATTAGGCCTACCGAATAATTTTCCTGATTTGTCAAACTGTATTAATCTTGTTATTAACTGTAGTTGTACCAGAGAGAACAGTAAATAACAATAGATAAGAGTTAAAAATTTCAAAATAGAAATTTATTGAAAGTAAACAAGTATAGGCCTACCTATACTTTAGGTAAAGCTTTTATAGTGTAACAGAGAAACGCAATCATTGTCTCCTGCGATAGCGACAAATATCTCCATCGGTCACGTAAACTTCATAACATAGCTTATCCGATCCAGGCGGATTAATTTGGCATGATTCGCCCTGGCACAACGTTAGGCTCTCGACTACTTTTGAAAAAAAATCTTTAATGCATATTGTTACTCAGTTCTTAGTACAAAATCAAGGTATGGTAAGCGGCTACCAATAAGCAATAAGCACAGAGTAAGATTATTGTATTTTCATTTGCAAAGTTAATATAGACACATAGCAATCATTAGTTGTTTATCTAGGCTCAATTACATTTTCTTAATATATTTTACAGCTCTTTCAAGAATCAAAATACCCAGGCCTAGACCTAATTATTTAGGAGGGCCTATATAAACTGGTTAACAAACAATGAGGTTATAATAGCAGCAAAGTCACTATCATCATTCTAGTTCATAAGATTTAGATTGCTTAAAGCATACAACTCAACAAATAAATATATGGGAAACAAAAAACATTGAAACCTGAATAGCCAACAATACAAGACAAAGATACAGAAAATGCAATGACATAATTTGAAACCAAGCAGGCCTACATAGTGATAAAACATTAATGCAAACAACATTGCTTGTGGTTTTGTCAATTAAAAGATCAAATATCCATAAAAAATGGGTTAACTTACAAAATAAAACTGTAGATTATTTACATGTTTTATATGAAACCATAAACAGTTTTATGGCACTAGGCAATGGCCGCGGCAAATTGAATCTTCAAGCCAAAGTACAAGTAAGAAGTGAAATTTAACAGCCATTATAAAGCTATTATTTTCATGATAAAATAGGTTTGGGGTCTCATAATAATTACCCTAGTAATAAAAAAAGAAGTTGTAAAGGAATAAAGGAGTTGTCTTTTTTAATAAAAAGACACTCTTTTTAATAAAAAAGTTGTCTTTTTTTCAAGGAAGGACATACACAAAGTCACATGGACAGCACCGAATGGCATCACAAATAATCAAATAGATCATGTTCTGGTAGATCTCAGACATTCTAGTCATATCACCAATGTTCGTAGCATAAGGAAAGCAGAATGTGGATCAGACCACTATCTAGTACTAGTTAATCTATTGCAGAGGATTAAGATAGAGAAACAAACAAAACAGAAAACCTCAATAAATGTTAACTTCGATCATCTAAGAGATGAAAAAATAAAGAAAGACTTCCAACTTAAACTGTCGAACCGTTTCCAAGCCCTAAGTAACCTAGCTCAAGGAGACCCAGAGGAAGATAAAATTGAAAGTGGCTGGACCAACATAAAGGAAACCCTACAAAACTGTGCAAAAGAAGTGTGTGGTAAGAAGGAAAGGAAGAACAAAAAACCATGGTTTGACGAAGAATGCAAAGAAAAAGTATTGCAAAGAAAGGAAGCGAAAGACACCTGGCTCAACAAGAAACAGGAAAGTGATAGGGAAAAATATAAAAAACGCTCAAGAGAAACAGTAAGGATACTCAGGAGAAAAAAGAGAGAATGGGTGAACAAAATCCTAGAGAAGGCGGAACAAGATCGGACGGCAAACAATAGCAGAGACTTTTATCGATCGGTAAGATTTTTCAGAAAGGGGTATAGCCCAATGCCATATGGAATTAAAAACAAATCTGGGAAACTAGTGATACAGAGCAAAGAAGGGATACAAGTATGGCAAGAGTATTTTAAAGATCTCTTGAATGTAGAAGAATTAGAAGAAGAGGAAGAGGAAACCGAGGAAGTGTATCAAAATGTGGAACCAATGGTCCCAGACCCAACAGTACAAGAAGTAGAAAACGCAATCAAGGAATTAAAAAACAATAAAGCTCCAGGAGAGGATTCAGTATCATCAGAATTGATTAAGGCAGGAGGGGCAAGACTAGCGAAGGAGATTCACAAATTGATTCTGGATATTTGGGAAAAAGAAGTGATTCCAAACGAATGGAAGGAAGCGATAGTCATTCCTATTCATAAGAAAGGTGACAAAAAAGAGTGCACCAACTACAGAGGTATTTCTCTCCTCAACTGCACCTACAAAATACTATCAAAGATTTTACAAAAAAGATTGGAGGAGTATACATCAAATATAATAGGTGAACATCAAGCAGGCTTCACAAGAGGTAGATCAACTACCGATCAAATATTCATACTGAAGGAGGCAATTGCCAAATACTATGAATTCAATAAAACCTTTCTCTGCCTTTTTATCGATTTCTCCAAAGCATATGACTCGATTAGTAGAAGACGACTCTGGAAGATTATGGAAAAGTATGGAATACCCAAAAAATTAATAAACTTATCAAAATCAAGCATATCAGAATCTAGGTGTAAGGTTAAGATAAATGGCGAAATCTCAGAAAAGTTTGATGTTAGCACAGGCGTAAGACAGGGGGATGGTTTGTCCCCATTGCTATTTAATTTAGCTTTAGAGGAAGCACTACAAGAAGTAAGGCAAACAGAAGCTGGAATTACAATAGGGACCAAAATAAACGTCCTTGCATTTGCAGATGATGTTGCAATTATAGCGGAGAGTAAAGAAGAGTTGAAAATGCTGGTCACAAAATTCTTAAACCATACAAAGAAAGTTGGTTTAAGAATAAATGAAGGGAAAACAAAAATAATGGAGTGTGGGAGAGCAACCCAAATAAACAATGACAACAATATAGAAATAGAAGGGTACAACTTTAAAAAAGTAAACAACTTCACTTATTTGGGAGTAATGCTGACGAATAATAATGAAGAAGATATGGAAATACAACAAAGAATAAATGCAGCACACAGAAGTTTATCAGCATCCCACAAACTATTAAGCTCTCGAATACTATCACACAAAACAAAACTCCGTATATATAAAACCATTATAAGACCAGTTCTTTTATACGGCTCAGAAAATTGGGTGTTAAGTAAAAAAACAGAAAAACGTTTGATAGTATTTGAGAACAAAATATTGAGAAAAATATATGGCCCAACCTTTGAAGATGGAGAGTGGAGGATAAAACACAATGCAGAGTTGAGGCAATTATATATGGACCCAGACATAGTGGCCGAGGTGAGAGGTAGGAGAATGAGATGGGCTGGCCATCTACTAAGGAAAGAGGACGACTCCTTAGTCAAAAACGTCCTTTTGAACAATCCGGAGGGCAGAAGACCACCAGGAAGGCCCAAGTTGAGATGGCGAGACCAGGTTAGAAAAGACCTAAGAAGACTGGGAAGAAGGGAAGATGAGGCAATGGATAGAAAAATCTGGAGGCAGTGTGTTGGCGAGGCAAAGTACCACCTTGGGTACCAAGAGCCACGGCAGTAAGTAAGTAAGTAAGTAAGTAAAGGAATAAAAGTGATACAACTTTTATGAGCTATAACTGAGTCAACAGTTCTTGGAAGTACTTGACTTGACACTTGATTGTCGTGATAAAATATTAATGGGTTTGAAATTGCTAATGGGATTTTTATTGCATAATAACTCTAGTAATAAATTATGAAAATGTAAACAAACATCTGATAAACCTTTTATGTGCTCCTAACCAACTAGCGATCAATAAAATTATGGTCCATTAAAAATTTAAGGACATAGTCTGGCATTTAAGGACAATTCCCGTACATTTCATGGCCAATAAAAAATTAAGTACAATTCCCGGTTTTCCCGGATTTCCCGGTTGGTAGACACCCTGTTTTAACACACGCGTTGAACAATTTTTCTTACGAGTTTGGTCATCCCAAAGAATTAAGAGCATCATCTATTGTCTGATAAGGCAGTGAACAATGTAAATGGCTCATTCAACTGGGTTCTATTTCTATCTATTCTAAGAACTGGCATCAGCTGGTTACTTACAAGACTGCAGGTTGTCTGCCGCACGATTCACAGCTGATATAAACTCCGGGTCCTCAGAGTTGTCTGCCTCTTGTTTGGCCACCTGCAGCACTCTGTTGCCCAGCCTGGCTATGCATGTCGTCTGCTCCACGTACTTCTGAGGCTCGTGTCGTGCGATTGCATCCTCACACATCACCGTGTGCTTCTGCATGTGCTCCTCTGAAGAATGAGAATCAAGATTGGTGAGATGGTTGTGTAAACAACTACACAATACAAGACTACTTTACACAAAACACAGACTAATTTATACAATACACAAACAATTATTATTTGCATTTCTTACGAACCAGATATTTTGATGAAGTGAGCCGAGTCAGTAGCCTCGTCACAGAGGTTCCTGATGCGTGCGACGCTGTCAGAGTACTGAGCGCGTAGGTTGTCAAAATGTTCATCAGCTGCTTTGCTCTCGTTGTAGTTGAGTCGGATACGACCAGCATTGACCAGTTGAGGGGTCAATGACTCAACCTGGAGGACGAATCAATGATAAGTTATGTAAATAATCTAACCTAGAACGAAAGAGGTCTACATGTTAAGGATTGTTGGGATTGTAGGCTAACCTGAATGGAAAAGCAGTCCATCCTAAGGTAATAAACGCTATCATTAACACTATACACCATAACTACAATATTTTACTGTCCCTAACAGAATGTTCAACCACTAATACTGTTACTATTCAGGTAACCTTACTAACCCAATCTGGCTAGAGAGCTAAATTTGAATATAATAGTTGGTAGACCGTGAAAGAAATGGTACAAGATAATAAAGGAAGACTTAATATTATGCTACAAGGCACAAAAGGAGGAGGTTCATTTTGTGAGGCAAGGATGGACTGATGATTATTAGCACACATAGGAGACAAAATCGAAATTACCGTACGGCGTACACCCTCTTTTAACTGACCCTTGCAGAACTATCTATTGTATCACTGTCATAAAAGGGTGTCTACCACCCTTAAATTTTAGTGACTTTTGCAGGTGGTGGGGGGCACTAAAATACACAATCTTTGGTACAATACTTTTCAGTGACTTGAACGAGATGGTCGGGCATTTACTATTTTGTGCTGTAACGATTTGAGCTGGTTGCCTGCTCCCAATATATGTTTGCTCTCTGATTCCGCATTATGAATTTCATTGTCTGCAGCAAGGTGCAAAAAAGAAAGGTTTGGAGTGCTTATTGTAGTTAGGATCAATTTTTTTCTGTTTTTTTTTATGTGGATTTTCAAATAAAAACCTGTTACAAGTGACTTCTGTGACTCTCTAGTAAGATCAGTGATCTCAGTGACCAGTAGAAACCCTGGATAAGAATAAAAATAGAATTCTCTAGATCCCTTGAGTCAGTCAATTATCCAGGGTCAGTTAACAGGTTAAGGATACCGTGTCGTAATTAAATGAGGTGTTACCTGAGAAGCCGCAGACACCAGTGACTCAGCCAGTTTCTTGTTGCCGCCGCTACCACCAGCCGCCACCATACGACCAGTTCTAGCAGCCCGTGTGGACCACTCGTTGAGAGCTGCTGCCTTGTCATTGAAATTGACATCTCGTCCAGGAGTACCTGCATAAATCATTGTTGTTGATTGGGTGTCACAAGTTTATTTTGTATGTGAATTCTAGACTACAAAATATTAAAGAACAGCAAAGTATCTAGTTAGGAATGTTTGGAAAGGGGTAGATTTTAGCTAGCTTACCTCAGAAAATTTGAGGCAAGGGGCTAATACGCAATTTAAGGTTACAAAACATAACAATGGCATTTTTTCAGAATATAAGGGTTTATTCAGATAGGTGTTATTCAGGGTTTATTCAGGGAATCTTCGACTTTTTCTATCATGCTCACACCGTGAACACCTAGTTCCTGTTTCTGGCCTCGTGGCATAAAATACTATTAAACTAATAAATAGTGATTTATATAATGAAAATTGAGAATTTATTGTCTGTTAAATTTACCCAATTTACCTTCAGGAACATGGACAGCTTCAGTGAAATGCTTCAAGGGTGTAACAATGTCGACAAAATCTTCAACAACTCGGTTCACCACGGCATTCTGGATCTTTTCCTTGAGCTCGTGCAGCTTCTGAGATAGGGTCCTAGGGGATCAAATTGACTCTGTTAAAATCCGTAAACGCTCCTAATTTAGTGAAAAAATATAACTAACCATCACGAAATTTATTATAAAATATATATATATATATTAAATCCATTATGTGATCTTTAAAGTTTTAACTTTACACAAGAGCATCATGTAAATAGTCCTATATGTATGTTTTTATTTGTGAAAAGCTCATAGAGTGTGATAATATTAGTACGGAATGATGAACTAATGTACATTTTGATTCAAAAATTGATGACAACTTTAACATGGGGATTGAATACTACAATCTAGGTCTTCGTAATATTACCAAAACGTTGAATAAGTTAAACTATGTCCCGGGCAAACTAATGAAGCTGAAGATTCAGTTGAACAGTAATTCGTCCCGAGGATGGATATTACACATTCGGCCTCAAGTTTAACTTATTCAACAACAGCCATCACCCGAAGACCTATCATCTAGATAATGGTGATAAGATAAATAAGACATTTGTAAGTCATTCAAAAAAATTACAAAATTTTACAATAGACATCATCATATGATGAGCTCACATAACAGAACAATCATGTAATGTTTAAAATCTAAAGTAAAGCCCCCCATACACGGTCCAATATGTCTGCTGACTCATCCGACTCCGACCGCGTCGGACCGTGTGTAGTTTGAGAATTCCAGACGGACTTGGTCGACACTGCCGACATAACCGACATTTCAGATAGTGTATGGGCTCAACAGACTTGGTCTGCGTACCGGTAGTTCACTTCAGTGGTTTTGTGGACTGGACGGACCATCCGAAATCGACCCGATGTTGACCAAATAATACCGAAGTTACTCGAAGATTCCGCTGTCAGAACGGCGGTCGGAACACTGGTCGGATCGTGTGTGGTAACAGCCAGACTTGATAGACTTGGCAGACAGACCGCAGACCCGACATGTTTGCCAACTGTGTATGGGGGGCTTAAGGCTAGGCTATAAGACTCAATTTCAAAATTTAAAAATTCATCCAACGTATAAAATGGATTAAGTTGTAAGTAACCAATTATACAATCTTAATGAAATTTTTTCTGAGGCAAAATCTGAAAAGTTACTTAATGACAAACTTTAACTGTGTGTGACTGAAAAGTCACTTAAGTAACTTGATGACAAATTTTACACCTAAATTAACATAATTGATTGATTGAATGTCTCATAGTACCTTGCTATCTCCTGAGCTTGAGGAGAGTTGCCTTGGCCGCGGCGGCACAGGTCACTGAGTTGTCTAGACAGTCTGTCTACCTGGTCACACAAGGTCAATATCTCACTCCTCTGTACTCCTGGCAGTCCATCAGCCACCTGCAACACCCAACACAACACACTCATCATAGCTGAATGATTTATAGATAAAATACCTTATGTACGTAGAACAAGCATGATCTAATTGTTTTAACATTAAACCTATACACCTAAGTTGTATAATTTAGATAGCTTGATCAAGACACAAATATAAATATTAATATGATAGAGTAAACAGTACTTGTCCGTGAAGTCCAAGTGACACTAAGACGATAACATTTTTCAGTGTATTTTGGCTTAGAACAAATTTTTATGAATTTTGAATGTATTATGCTGGATCTAAAGTGGTTATTTGGCCCTTGGTGGCTGCCATTAAACTTGTCTTAAAATCAAAACAATCCACATTATACCTTTGATTATTTATATAACTTTCGGTATCCAATTACCAATGATTATACATATGGATTGCAGTAAACCTTTTGTTTTGATGATTTTGGGTTTTCTTAGTTTGTGGTTTGGGAATTATTGTTGTAATTGCAGTTTCAGCCAACTAGAAAAAATAACAAGCCAGATGTAGGTTGTAGAAGCAAACAAAAAAACCTCTCCCTATGAAGCTTTTCAGATGCATTTTTACAAAGCAAAGTCTAGTCTACGCTAGTACCTAGGCCTACTGTGTGGTCTTGTGGGTTTGGTGTGCGTTTCTATAATACACAGATTTCATCAGTACAGAAAAATTAAATTAATATGGTTAGAATTTGGATTTATTTTCATAGTTAGGCACTCTAATTACAAGATACAAGAACTTTATTGTTAGTAAAATGCATAATATGGTACATTAGTATCTCCTAACTGGTCAATTAATCCAATATTACAATATTCTAACACATATATAACAGAATGAAAAAATCAAGCAGTATTTACAATTATATTTAAAATACTACGTTTTTTTTTTACTTATTGTTACACTGAGGAGTACAAGGTTAACAATTAGGAGGAGGAGAGAAAGGTTAACAATTAATTATGCAACTAGCTTGCTGACAAAACCCCTACAGAAATGTTACATAATGTACAACAGATGAATGAATGCCAACCAAAATATGTACATGAATTTCTGCAAGTATTGCTTACAGCAAATGCATTATCTATTTCAGAAATTAAAACTATTTAAGAAAATCAAATTTTTGTGATACCTTTCGTTGATCCTTTCGCCAAAGTAAGCAAGAAAGTTAAAAAAATGTTAGCCAAATAATGTTAATTCATGTAGGCTTTGATATCTACAGTGAATGACTAGCAAGCCCACTTATTAGCTATCAAAACTAGGAAGTGAAGAAGCATATTTCTTTTTTATGTTGTTGAACATTTATTAGTTTGGTACTAATTCTGTCCCAATATGTGTGTTATTAGATGGGCCATTATTATTTACAGATTCTACAGGGTTTCTAAATTTAATTGTAGATAACATACATTATATAATCTAAATATTTGAAGCTTGAAGAGACCCTTGTATCAAAAAGTAATTATCTAGAGGCGATTTCCCAGGATTTTAACTAGAAAGTTGTTTACTGAACATTTTCTACCGGAATTGACTAAACGAAAAAGATTATTGTTTGCTAACAAGGAGTTTACAAAAAAAGTTATTCTAGATTCCCATTTTTTTACCCATAAAACCCATTTCTAAATTTGTTGTACAACAGTACACCGTCTATATAGTATAGTTACCAAAGCAATAATGTTAAATAGAATATATTAAATGTACCTTCTTGCCCTCGCTGACAATGAGAGCTATAGCCTGCTGCCCCAGTCCATGATCATCATGCTGAGGCCTACTGAGCCATCTGTAACAATCAATGTATTGTTAGTCGAGGAAACTCACATAGGTTACTAGTGATTCTTGGAAAAAACACTAGTTTTTTAAGTGAATTTCAAACATGGGTAATTAGAATACTTGAGAAATTTAGTAGTTTTGGAAAAAAGAACAATGTCAGAAGGAAAAGTAAAGCTTCTTAACTAGGAAGACCAATACTAACATAACACTCTTGGTATTTCAGGAATTATTGTAAACATTATCTATCTCGATTTCAAGTTTTAATGAATTTAATAATTTTTAAGATGTGTTGGGATCTGGAATCTGTTCCCGTCCTCAGCTGAGAGATTACCCAGCTACAAATTTTCTGGCGGATGGAAAATGTTCACAAAAACCCTCATATACTAAACCTTCACCAAAAACAAACTTCAAACAAAGGATAATGTTCTTGTTCTTGTATTCAGATATTAAGTTGTTTTGACACGTTTGACAAAATCCCGGGTAATCATTTCAACACAGATGCTTATACACACTTGACAATTTGGGTTAAATTGACTGTGCCAACCTATGAATAATGGATTCTAAAAATTACTCTTGGAAAATATTATAAGTATTGAAATGCCAAAACTGAATTTCAAATCCCAAAACCATCAAAATGTTGGATAAGTTTTGGTTTAGAGTTTAGAGATTCAATCAGCAAGTTTAGAGATTCAGGATTAGATTTTTTAAGGATTCAAAATTTCTTGTTTTCACCATCACTTTCTAAGTGCACATGATACTTTGACCTGTTTTAGCGAATTTCCCTATAGGGAAGTAGCTATTACCGTAGGTCTCATGGTAAGACTTAGGCCCGGGACCGATTTACTTTTTCATTTTGGTGTCCCCAGAGGCCAAAAACACCATTCGTTCAAATTTTTATATATGTATATATATATATATATATATATATATATATATATAAAAACATTATTAAAAACTAAGTACCCTTTTTTAATTCATTTTATTTAACAACGACTAGTTTCGACGATTATGCCATAGTCATGTTGTTTTTATATCTTAACAAATACAATAAACATTTTATCTAAATAATAATCACTACAGTTTTCTTAATATATATATATATATATATATGTGTCCGTGAACACGATAACTTGAGTAATTTTTATCCGATTTTGATGAAATTTGGTTTGAAGGTGTAAGGCGGGATAAACTTGAATGAGTTCGCGATCCAGCATGATCGGATTATGGGAACAGGGTTTTATGGGGGGTTTTATGGGGTAAAAATTGGTTTTTCTCACTTTTGACCCTCAATACACAAAATTTCCCAATTTTTCTCTAAAAATTCTTAAAGAGCTTTAAAAAACAAACAATTCAGTATATCAAAGTGTTTTTGTACAGTAATTGGTTACGGAGAAAATTTAAAAAAATGGTAAATTTAAAATTCCCATGTTATTCTTATGGAGAATATTGTAAAATGTTGTAGTTTGCTTGTTTATGGGTATCTTTTGATCAAACTTGGCAAATATATTCATTTTATACGAAGCAATAATTATTTTACTTAAAACACGTACTTTATTAGTTTCCTAGTAGCAGCAAACCGCGTCGTCCTGTAATCCAGCTACTAGGAGGTCACGAATTGTGGATATTTACAGGCATGCACTGTGGATGCGATACTCCCTGGTGTGGATTAACGTCCGCACGGGTGAGTAATACGATTATCCGCAGTACTATCATGATAATTAGACCAATTCGTATACATATACCAAGGAAAAAAGTGGTTCGGACTCCACTATAAACTGTAGGTTCCTTAGTTGCCATTAGCTGTATGGGCTATTAATTAACAGCTGTGTCTAAGGAATATGTCGGCCTTAGTCACTAACAAGACTACAAGATCGCGCCACTCATCCTACACTCATCTCCATTCATACTTGGCTTAAAATACCTACTTTGTATGGTCGCCATTTAATAAGAAAGTATTAAAGTAAAGTATTAACCTAATGTTATTTAAATAGATCAATTGAAAATCAATTCAGCCAAATGGAAATTCGCTTAGACGGCAGGTTTGCTGCGGCGGGGGTATTTACTACATGTAGGTGTTTTAGAACAGTATTTATTTTTTAAGGTGATTAAGATGAGAAATAACAGTTTTTTTTCAAATTTTTTTCTAATAGCTTCAGCCTACTAATCTCTGATACACTAGTCAATTATAAATTGGTCTTTAATGATATTTAATGAAAAGTTATCTTACATCAGATGCACAACTGTATGATACATCTAAATACACAACAAATAACAATTAGTACATTTTTACCTCCATTTTTTTGTCATAGCTAAAAATAAAATGAAAACTAACTTTTTTAGAGAACAGCACGATAACACTTGTCTTCACTTCAGGATAACAGTATTGAAACTCGAAACTAGAATGTTTTAACAGAAGGGAAATTTGTTAACCAATATTTGGTTACTTACCTCTGAGCCTGCTCCAGTCGGCCACTGACTGTGTGTGCAATCTGACCTCCCCCGTGCTTGTCCATGTTGTTGATAGCGTTGCTGACAGCTCGACAAACTTCTCCCAACTTCTCCTGTATACCTCGGGCCAAGCTCTCCGCCTGCAGCAAACACACAGCTTTACAATTGGAAGGGAAAGTGGTACTGATCGGTTGTACAGAGTATCTAAAGCAGGCTGCAGCGGTTAGGTTAGGTTGGTTTGTGGTAATTTGAATAGATCTTCAACTTAAGCAAGATCTGAGCAATCAAAGTGGAAGTGAGCTTCATCTGAGTTAATATTTCTTGGTTTATAGACAATTATTTTAATTAATTTGGTTGGATTTGGTTAATCTATTAAGAAGATATCCTGCTCCAACCCAAAACCTTACCCAGCCTATTGACAGTCATGCATCAGCTAATTCTCAAATCAAAACAATATTACACATTTCTCGAAAATGCTGCAAACAAAAAAATACAAAATTAAGTGTTGAAAATATGAACTTTGAAATTGATTTGTTGTTGTGATTTTAAACATGGGGACCTACTTACACACCTTTGTTGGTGATTATGGACACTAGACCACTCTGTACATTCGTTATGACATAGCAATCAATTAATTGATGATTGGCGAGATTCGAACCCCAGCCCTACCTGTGGAGTGGTGCCTTTGTTGGTCTGGCGCAGTTCACACAGTGCCTCAGTCATGGTGTTGACGTCACCGCACAGTTTGTGTATAGTGTCCCTGTCAGATGGCAAGGCTCTGTCTGCCACTGCCTGGGCGTGTTCTAGTATCTGACGTACTGACTTCTCACCGACCCCTCCTCTCAGAGCAAGAGGATCCTGTACAGATAACAATATTGTTATTAAATTCATGGAAAGCAATTTTTGGATGGAAAACAAAGTTTGTATAAACTAAAATATTTGGGTTTTTTGGGGGGTTTCTACAAAATCTTTATGAAAGAGATTACAACATGTGATGTTTTGGTGATCAAAAATTAGAAAATTCTTTCTTCATCCCATAAAACCCAATTCCCATAGTCTGATCATGCTGGCACAGAGAAGTAAGACAAAGAGAGAAAACGTGCTTATTAGACAACCTTGCGCTTTTAGCTCTGGTATGGTGGGGCGGAAATGTAGTAGTAGTGAGCTAGGAAGAGCCCGAACGGCAATGGCCACATAGCATATTTGAACAGCAGTTGTAGTGCACAGGGTCTTCCTACCGCATGAGCGCTGTAGTACGTGATGGCGAGGGGGGAAAGGAGGACAGAAGGGAATGACTACAGTAATGGAATTTTTTCTAGACACCCGCGACTGATGATAAACAACACTTAAGTGAACCATTGAATGTATCATCTGTATCTTACTTCTCTGTGATGCTGGTTTGCATTCAAATAAACGTAATATACATGTTAGTACCGAATTTCATAAAAATCTGATGATTTTTCCTCAACTAATCATGCTAACGGACACACATACATATATATGTTTACATTTACATTGAAAATGGTCTTAGTGGCAAAACCTGGTCAGTATTTTATACTTATGTTCAAATTTACTTCTTATACCTACATATGTATTTTAACAAATTAAGTTTTTGGCCTGACATCAAACCAAAAAAGTAAATCCTGGGGCTAGGTCTTAACGTGCCACCCAAGGTAACAGTTACTTTCCTATAGGGAAATTTGCTCAAAATAGTACTATAAAAAGTATTTACCTCGAGCCAGTCCTTAGCGTTTCTTATTTTACTCTGGATCGCATTCTGTGCCTTCTTCATGACCGTGAGGTTGTCTGCGTCCCACTCGTCTTCATCGTAAGTGGTCAGCTGCAGCACTCTGATAATCTCATGGAGTTCGTCCGTCATTCTCGATGTCAAATAGTTACGGTTCTCGGCAGCTTCCTCAGCCCCCTTGCCACCTAGCAATGGATATCACACTTAACTGGGCTCTTGAAACTTGTTGAAAGGACTTGAATAGCTACTAGTTTAAAATGTAACTGTATCATTAAATACTTGCAACCATAACCTTACCAAAATCAAAATGAAACCATTGATTATCTGAAATAGTCTCACCCTCATAATTCTGGTCAAATACCACCTTACTGATCATAATTTTTACTTTTCTCTCTCTGCTACTTTAGTTTTATTGGGCTTGTTATTTCTCTTGCCACTTATTATCTGAACTTTATTGGAACTTTGAGAAGTAGTTTTTGCAAGACTCACCAGATGAAATGATATGGATGAATATCTTCATGCTGCAGATCAATATCGGAGCCAAAGTCTTGACCTGGTCCAGGCATCTGATGAGAATTTCCCGATGGACCTGATGGGTCAATTCCTTCTCTCTCGCTCCGACCTCACGAGACACCTGGTAATATTTTGATTTCATAGGTTAGATTGACAGGAAACCAACACCCTAGAGGGCATATTTTAGGGCAAAGATTAGTGGAATGATAAAATGACAGCTTTATTAACATCAGCTGCTTTTGTCTAAGACCATCTATAAAAATCCAATGATGAAAGACAACTGGGTTCAAATTTAAAACTGTCAAAAGATATGTATCTTTCTTTAGAACTAACCCTTATCTATAAAACATTTCAACAGAAACATTTTGATCTACAAATATATTAGTTTACTAACTAATCAAGCAGTTAAATTACCCTAGAATAGAAAACCCTACATCCAAATATTAGACTTTCTCTGAAAAATTGGCTAAAGAATAAATCTGTTTAATGGCAATAGAAAAATCCCCCTTTTAGAGAGGGTTTACCATTAAAACCTTTATTTTCTTCTGGAATTAGATATAAATGAATCGACTACTCATTTTTGCAAGGCAACTTGTGTATACAGGGTGTTTTTTTTTTTTTTAACTTGCATCTTTATTTATGTAAAAACCGCAATAGATAGAAATATTCAGTTTGCGGGAATCATCTATTGACGTAGGGGGCACAATTTTTTTGAATTCAATGTTACATTCACATAAAGTTATAAAATAAGGTTGGGGAAGGGGGGGAATAAGAATGTAACGTTGAATTCAAAAAAATTGGGCCCCCTACGTCAATAGATGATTCCCGCAAACTGCATATTTCTATCTATTGCGGTTTTTACATAAATAAAGTTGCAAGTTTTAAAAAAAACATCCTGGATATTTCTGTAAGGGGGATTTTTCATCAAGCTTTGTAGCTTATTATCATGGCCTAAATGGGATTGGTCAACTCAAGGTGATGGTTACATTTTAGATAACTTGATAGTCAAACCACTGGGTATGTTTTCCAAACCCTCAGAATTTATTTGTAAAAGCAGCCAGTTATTAATTAAAGCAGTGTGAAATAGCCGGTACTAACACTAACAACTGTTTTTGTAACTAGATTCTCACTCACTTTGCTAAGGCAGGGGCTGAGATCTTTCAAAAACTGCACCAAATCTTCCATTGTTTCGATGACCTCTGCTACAGCCAAGTAGTCCAGAACCTTTTTACATTCTCGGATTATTTTTCTGACTTCTGATTCATCAAAGCACAACAGAAGGGATGATGTTCCTTGCAAAATTCCTCTTGAACCTTCGATAAGTTTCTTTCTGAAATCAAACAAACGTAACTTGTCAGTAAAGCCTTTGACTATGAATATGCTACCGCACTATAAAGCAAACATTCCATTCTCATAATAAAGCTATAGCCAGTTTTTGTTGAATTAAAGTAAATTAGTTCAACTGAGCCACCAACAGAATGTGCAGCTGTGATACAACTTGAAATTTATGCATTTATAACAAGATTTATAAAATTAAGCCATAAGAATTGAAGTTTAAAAAACCTTTTCGCAAATTCCCATCATGTTCGGATATGAGGAGTTCTACTGGATAAGATATTTTTGTGAAAATCCAATCACAAATAGAAATTCGCTCAGTCTGCAGGTTTGCTGCAGCGGGGGTAACTAACCTGGCAGGACCAGAGTAAGGATCGACCTTGAGCATCCCTGAAGCCTCCTCCAGTAACTTGGAAGCCCCTTCCACTCTGTACAGGGCGGCTGGCATGTCCTGTTTGAGGATGGGGTCATCACTGCTGTTGATGGTCTCCTTACCAACCTGAGAAACAGATTTCAATTAGTTTACAAGAATTAAGATGGTCCCGCAATCCAAACTGATTGAGATCAAACCCCGAACCAACCCTATTTGGATCAGCAAAAATTTGCATTTGGCAGAGTTCAGTCACCTAAAGTTATAAAACTTTATAACGACTATTCATCAGGAATTAAGAGTAGTCCTACCGTAAGAAATTAGGACGTATTCTAGTATCGTAATTGTAATTGAACTAATGTGTTTTAAGTGTGATTGGAGGTAAAATTGATTTCAAGCAGCACGTGAGTAGAATTTTAAAAATGTTGCACAGTAGAACCTTGGTTAACCGAATTAAAGAGGAGAGAGCCGTTTCAGATTACCAATTTTTCGGTTAACCCATCATATACTAAACATAGCCAATGTACTACCACAGTGTGTAAAAAAAATGAATTTAAGATAATGTCTATATAATGCAGCGTTTTATTTCAGCTACAAAAATGTTAAAATTGTATAGAAAATACTTTAACCAGACAACTGAAGTTATTAAAGCCTTTTACGGCCAATATTATTTTATACAACCTGAATTCGGTTAAAAGGGGTTCTACTGTATAGTAATTTTTGTAATAATTTTTATTGCAAATAAAAACTCAACAAATCTTTTTTAACAAGGAAAAATAGATAAATCCTTATATAACATGTACATATACAGAGAGCATATATGATTCTTTAAACAATTGGTGTTAGATTGGAGGGTTTGTACAGTACATTTATTTCATTTTCTGATTGTGTGATCTGGGAGGAGGTATAATAAATAATTTTAGGCTAAACCCACCAAGAGCTATCACCAGATTTGAAGTTGGCTGGTCAAAAGTTATAAAACTTGGTTTTGTCACAAAAATAATTAGTTACAAAACGACGATGTAAAACACAAGTAAATTTGTAAATGGTGAAGTTGGGTGGATTTGTAAACAAGTGAGTCACAGTGTTTGGATGAAACAAGATTTGACTGTTGGAGTCTCGCCATAATAAACTAGGCACAGGGCCAGATACAGGTGCTGGTGAATTTCACCACAAAATCACATTTACAGATAACATTAGTAAAAAGCTGATTCTGTTGATAAGAATATCTACTGTTGAAGATAATAAGCTTAGTCTTTATCTTTGAATAGTCCTTGATATTGATATTTCTTATCTAGCTGACAGTGATTAATACAACAATATCATGATCTATATATAACATTCTGATTCAGCAAATTAAAATACCAAAACTTATTCTTTATCATAGAGTTTCCTTGATATTGACAATTCTTATCAAGTTGTGAGTATAAACAACAACATCCAACAACATCATTCCTTCCACACAAAAAATAAAATTTTGATTCTGCTGATGAAAATATATATACTTGAAAGATGAATAAAATCAATTTTTATCCATCATTGCCTTGGGATTGATAATGACTACAATAACTATAAATAAATACTATACTCTGTTTAAAAATTAACGTGGTTTTGGGGGAAGAAATCTATTTCCTCCACTTGACAATACTGTTGTATTAATAGTCAAAGATAACCTTTAAAACAATGAAACAAAGCTCAACAGCTTAGGTGTGCCAAAACACCAATCAGCTGCTACATATACAAACAAAAAAAAGTAGAGAAGGAACTTCCCCTCAAACCGCCTAAATTTTGTGAACAGACTTAGCTAGGTTGGTAAGATTACTAATATTGTTCAAATAAATCAAAATTATAATCCATAAAATGCTGGGTTCAATATTAAAGCTTCAAAATTTTCTCAAAATCTTCTAATGGCTACATACATAAATCAATTAATCCTAGAGAACATAAGATTAATATCAGTGGCTTTAAAAATAAACACTTAAGATCTATGCTGTTTTATGTGATCTAATGCATGACAAAGCCTCATGTTAAATTTAAGTCCAAATCAGGTGTGTGCCTCGAGAATTTCATCTGAATAATCACAGAAAATCTAAATCATGAAATGTTGGTGATCGCTAGATAGTAGCAATATAATCTAATAATAATAATAAATAATAATAATAAGTAACAATATGATCTATGTAAATATGATAAATGCCTTCATTTGCATTTAAAGGCCCCGTTAGTGAGTTTTATTGAAATCCATCAACAATATGCGGATGAGATCATTAAGAGTAGTTAGTGCTGATTGAATTATCTTCAAAACCATTGAAGTGGAGCAAATAATTAACTATTGTAGTTTACAAAAAAAATTATGATAAAAAGTTTACTCTAATGAAGTTGATCATAAAAACTACAAGTCTGTTTGTTTTAAAATAGAGAGTAATAACTTGGCTTGTCCTAAACAGACAATATGTTAACTTATGTAAAAAAGTGGTTTGTCCTGTTTCTTTATGTTACAGTAGGCCAACCTATTAGTTAGTCCTATTAAAGTAATGTTTCCACCTTTGTGAATTGCTTCCATTTTAGCATTTTAGAATAAGCTAAGTCATAATAAGGTTATCTTAGGATGATCTGGGATTTACAAAGAGGGAGATGATTCAGTAGGTAGTAGGCTTATCTATGTTTTATGATCACAAAACATAACAATTAAAACATTGACTAGTTCATGATTCCGCGTTAAGTTTAGAAACTACATTTTCAAGGTTGACAGGTCGACCATTAGTCTATAGGAGATTTATCACTACCTACTGAATATCAATGGAGCCAAGTGAAAGGCTACTGTAGTGTGTGTGTGTGGGTGTGAGAATGAGGTTTTGAAACTGGAGAGTTAGTCAGCAACACACTGTGGCTATTTATGTTGAAGAGAAGCCGACCAAATTATCCATGGTCTGTGTTATATTTGGGCACGTTTGCAAAAACTACTGTTTGTTCTTTATTTCTTTCATAATTTTATATACAAAAGCAATCTTTGACTGAAAAAATGGGAAAATTAAAGATTTTTAAAGCTAGAATTTATAAGGCCTAGTTAAAATTAAAGTTTAAAAAATTTTAATAATTAGCTTGTATTCAATAAACTGTTATAAAGGCAAACCAAAATTTATCTCATCCCTATTTCAAACCCTTGTCAACAGCAACAATGTTAACCTAACAAACAATGATAGTTTAGAAAGATGATTTGATTTAATTTTGTTTTGTTTATTCTTCTAAGCTTAACATTTGTTTTGATAAGATAATGATGTTTTAGCGATAAGGCATAATTCATCTTTACATTATTTGACGCTATTCATTGTAGGTATAAAAACTTGTACTGTGAATGAATAAAGAGAATTTGAATTGAATTGAATTGAATTGAATGTATACAATGTTAACCCTTCCCAGACGGCCTATAGTGTGTATACCGACAGCAAAATTATTTTATTTAAATAAAAACTAAAAACTAAACTAAACTAAAAACTATTATTATTTTTTAATATCTATAATTTTAATTTATAGAAAGTTGTAAATAGTTAATCTTTTAAAGCACTTTGTCCAAGATGTTTTTCATTACAACATTTTTTTGATAATTTCTTATTCTTCTAGAAAAATATTTCTAGTAGGCACATTTGGTTAAAGATATAATTGAATAAAAGAACGTTGTTATGAATGATTAATGATATTTTAGACAACCAACTACAACAATACCTAACTGTACTAACAATCGAAGGATTATTAGCGCGGATTATAATCGGCGGACCATTTTGTCTCTACCGTCCGCGGAGCCCAAAAAGATAAGCGGATATATCTGCCTACAGTCCTGGAAGGGTTAACAATGTACACACTTAAGGTGAGCAATAAAATATCCATTAGGTAGCTCTATTACTCTAGAAGTTTAAATTATTTGTTCGCAACTTTTATTAGCCAACACCAGGCATAACAAATAAAATTATGTAGTTATTACTAATAAATTTTGTGTGGTTGGGTAAATAATAACCAGAAAGCATATTGGCAGAAGCATATTGTTGGCTTTGTTAACCAATATGATGTGACACCCTAAAAAACCTATGTCTACAAAGACGCTCCTTTTAATCACTTTTTTATCCAAGCAATTCAGGTACGGTAACAGTAACTTTTGTTCATTTTAAAATCCACACCGAATCAAATTTTCGTTACCCACACCAGTGTCATTTTGAATTGAAAACCAAGAGTCAAAAATCTGTTTAACCCATTGGGGAAGGAATTAATGCGCTACCTGCAGCACCCTCTGGCGGCAATTAATTTTACCGAATTTGTAGACTTTTACTCTAACTGCTATAGAAAGAAAACCTTAGGTAATAAATTAATAATTCTTTCACCATTTTGTTTACAGTAAAATTGTCTACAGAAAAGTGGTAATTGGATAGTCAAAGTTCTAAACTAAAAAAAATATATATACTCTAAACTAAAAAAAAATATATATATATAAAGATTATAAAAATAAAAATTTTAAAAACAATATTTTGAAAGTAAACTTGCTATACAAATTCCAAGATTAATCCAGACACCAAATAACACTACTATTATAAAGTTCAATCGATTCCCTAGGCTACGTAGAAAAATCAAAACTTGTACACTTTTATAAGAAATAACATTTTTTTTAAATTGTTTGTTTACCTTACCGCAGCTGATTTTTGGTGATATGTGGTTTCTATGGCAACACAAAATTGTTTGTTATTCGCTAAAATAAATGAGTAAAAACGCAAATCAAGAAGCAAGATATTTATAAACATTATAATAGTAAGAAGAAACAAAAAGGGCGAAAAATAATAATAACTAAATAACTAATGGCGCTGCCTAGCGGTGACACGAGCGGCACTCGTAAGTCGGCCGCCGGGCCTGCAGTGGCCGTACGAGTAACGCTCGTAAGTCGGCGCCAATGGGTTAAGGGAAAGATTTTTCTTCCAAGTTCCAAACCTTTCAAATTTGGTGGCTGTGTTAGCGATTAGAACCGACCCTTTCGCACTGAAGCCCGACACACTAACAAATGGGCTAAGAACATAATCCTTTGATTTGTACTAAAGATCTTCTGCTTAGCCTATCTAAGATCTTACATTAACAATGTTATAAGCATTATCAAATGAAACTGTCCGTAGGAATGTTAAATAAATAAAATAGATGTAACGCTGATTTCTAACCTTAACGAGATTGGTAACTGCACAGCTGACTGCCATGACAGGCCTTTCCAAATCTGGCATGGCATTGCCATCTTCTGCTTCTTCATGAAGAATCACAAGCCTTGAAACCTACAAAAAAACATATTCATAAATAAATTTTATATATAACCTTGATATAAACCAAGAAAATAACTCGGTAGATGTACTCCACCGGATGAATTTGTGTTTTAAGAATGATTGAGTAGCGAACTCAAGTCTAAGCTCAACTAAGATCTAATTTATTTAAGAATAATCTGGATTTATTTGAACTGATTTAGACAGTAAATTATCTACGTAGGCCTATATGTAATGTTAGTTACCTAATATAGTAAATGGGGTTATAACTTAGTAGAGTTAAACCTAATATAGCTCCACAAATTCTTTGTATAATGTGAACCAGAAGGTTTCCGAGATTAAGAAATTTTGGGTTAGCCTATTGGGAAAAGGGATGAAAATGGAAAGATTTGGTAGGTATTTTTTAAGTGTATGTTTTATACATAGCCTACTAAGTGGCTAGTGCTTTGGTGGTCAGATAAAATGACCGCAAATATTTTATTATTTCTATGGCAGGAATTCCCTGACTTTTTGTCTGATCTTGATATTTTTTTAATTTTTGGAGTACTGAACTAAATTTTATTACAACTAAAAAAATAAGGTGGTCTTTAGAAAAAATACAAATTTACATCAAGTAAGTTACCTTACGTTTATTTTAGACAATTAAACACATAACACATAACGCAAACCAATGTTAGTTAGATCCTATGATTAAAAATAAAGCAAAAACATTTGTTTCTAGAATTACCGTAGCCTATGGAAAAACATAATTGACTCCAAATTTGAGAAACAAAATGTAAAACTAAAAGTCCAAACTAATGAATCCAGTAAATTATTTTACACTGATATTGCCAGTGTCAAACCACAAAAATAACCTCAAAACATGAAAACAAAAGAGAGAGATATTCTGAGTGAGGGGGAGGGAGAGAGGAACGTCGAGACGGAGACGGCTGACACGAGGGATGGCACGGAAAGTGTATGCTCCAAACAAAAATTCCTGCTGAAAATGTGATTTCTTAAATGTTATAAGATATTAATTTGAATTGTAGTTTTTTAATATTGATATTTTTAGTCTAAAATCTAATTCTTATAAAACGGAAGAATAAGTTTACTTGATTTATATCGGTAGAAGCATACTTGAACGTGTACCACCCTAAAGGTCTCTGCGTACCACCAGTGGTAGGCCTACACGTACCCCATTTTGGAACCGCTGTTCTATGGCATAAGCAAAATGCTATAATCTATTAACCCTCCAAGTGTCCATAGTTTAGGCCTTAATGTCCACCTATTTTTGGCGCATTTGCAAGGTTTTATTAAAACGGATCTGAGAAGCTTAAAACAATGTTAATTCTAATGTTCTATATACCATTTTGTTTGGAAAATCATGGGCTTCAATATTATATATAAAACATAAGGAACATTTTTTCAAAAAAAAAAAATTTAGGTAAAAAAAATATAATTTCGAAAATTTTCAAAAAAAAAATAAGTTCGCGCTCAATGAAATTGTATAAATTATAGGCCTATAAATATTTAAAAATAGCCACTTTGTTCTAAATTTTATGAGGATTACAAATATATAATAATATAAGGAAGTATATTTGCAAATAAATAAGTTATGGGCAAAAAACTGATTTCAGTACATAGCGTTTAGCTAAGAATGCATAGCCTAACCATAGCTAGGAATCTGGCTGATAATTTACATCAATATCACTACCTACTTCTTCAGGATCATCAACCAGCACTTCAAAACCACTTAAATCTTCTTATAATGCACCACGTATATCACTACTTTTGATTTTTAACACTAAAACAATGATAAACGTAATAAAACACATCAGTCATCGGTCCGGGGGAACCTAGCTGTTTACAAATACACGCACGTCAGCTGTCTGCTACAATATTTTCGGAACTAAAATGAATAGCGCTTAGAGACAGACCTCTGGAGAAAGCTTAGAATATTACGGAAAGAACGATACCTAACTCGATTCAGTCAGTCATAGAGCCTTCGCCGTAAACGATGTCTGCGTGTCGAAAAATCGACAAGTAACACTACACAAAGTGTGCTGCTTGTCGAATTTTCGTCAAGTAACACTGGGAGGGTTAAAGCTAACTGAGCTATTTTGATACCAGGATCTCTCTCAAAATTGTAATTAACACCAGCATAGGTTTTTGCAGAACTTACATATAAGTTAGGCCTGAAAATTATTTTTAAGGGATCCGGACATGGAGGTTATTGGATGCAGAGTTTGCAGGAATTAAGTTACCGGTAGCCTAACTGTATCTCACGAGCTAATCAAATTACTAAATTGGCCCTACATTTAGACATTTATTTAAATGAAAACCTGTATTTTCTGTTAAAAATCAATAACACCTCAATAGGTTCATTATGTAAGAAAACAAATTAGGTAGATACTCAAGCAACGAAAAAAAACACTTTTATTACATCAAGTACGAAGGACACGGCGACGGTCAGTCTAGACCTACACCCTGAACCCGCAGCCGCGCCATGAGTTGTATGGCCATACTTTATTCGTTAAAATGTGTGTACGTGTTCGTTTTTGTTATTTGTTCATCTCGTTATGTGTTTTTGAAGACTTTCCTACGACCTCCTAGGAGCGAAAAAACCACGTCTAGACTTGACAATGACACCATAAGTGTGTCGAAACCTGAAAACATCCCTTATACTTAGGCCTGACGTAGGGAAAAGCCACTTAAGATTAAATTTGATTTTAAGTTATGTCCCTACACCCATCCATAACTTAAAATCTTTAATATTCACGACCTCTTTAGCCTAATGTTAATAGCCTATGCTTGCACTTGCTATTCAAAGTGGCAACATAACATTTTAAATTAAAATAGTAAAACAATAAATTAGGTCAGGTTTTTAAAACATGTCTAAATCATATTCTCGTAACTTACGTACTTAGGCTTTTTAATAAACTAAGTTATCTTAAATGGTTAAAAATTCAATTTGGACCTTAAAACAAACCCAATTATATATTTCATTATATAAGTTATTAAACCCAATTAACTTAAAAAGTTAAATGGGTCTGATTGGAAGATTTTATTTTCCTTTAACGACAATTTAAAAAAAATATCATCCTTGATACACTTGATCTCTGGAAACCTTACTGGATACGCTCCACTTTGATATAAGTTTAGGCCTACCTAATGTTTAAAACGTTGTATTTTCCTTTTCCATATTTCCAAAATTCAGCTTAAGTTAATTTTAGGTTGTAGTAAAATTGGAGGTTATGATTTGTAATGCAGAGTACCTATTTTACTATATTTGACTTAAGCATAAGCATAGCTTAGTTATAAGTTTGAGAAATCATTAAAGTAAGTAGGAGCAATGAATAAGCTGACAAAAGAAATTTTGGACTTTGTAAATATTTTTACTTTGATTTCAAATCTTCAAGTTTAGTGTCCATAATCATGTCCATATTTAGGCATGTGTCACATCGTGACGTCATTTGACAGCTGATAAAGGTTAATTTACAGCATAAAATATTTCCTAGGTTATCTTCCCAAAGAGATACTGGTGCAATTTTAAGGCTTAGTATTAGGAGCTATATAAAAATTTCACCCATTTAATTATTATTTTTTTGTTTCAGAGAGACAAAACAATCAAACACAGAATTTGAGACAGACGTTTGATGTTGGTTGTGGTTTACAAGAAAAATTGTATTACAGTACGAGTACGGTAAATAAATAAGATGCAAGGGTTACTTTAAAATGATAACTAATTAAATATTTGTGTATGTACAATACATTCAAACGTTGAATACGAAACTTAATAGTATAACAGCTTATTAGGAATCCAAGCCCCATAAAAATACAAATTTATTTCATACCTGCTGTGCCACAGGCTCCAAAATGCCTTCGATGGTTTTGGTGTGAAACACGGGCATGTTTCTGGGAGATTAATAACTCTTTGACAAGTAAACCTAAATATGAGCCTACTAAGGCCAAAAACTAATTAAAAATCATAAAATTATACCACAAAAACTAATAGTGTTGACTGTCTAGACTCTAGAGTAGACGAAATTAGCCTTTTTGTGAAAGAAAAAGAAATAAAACATGAAGAAATTGAGATCATTCAGTGATGCAGTGTGTCTAAACGCAAACAAAAATTATCCTACGTTCAATATTACATAGGTACCGCGGATTATAAAAGGAATTTACTTGACCTTATTTTTATTATACCTATCATACTATTCAAAATTAATATTACTACTTTTTACTTTCATTAGTAATTTAATTTTTCTTCACAAAGACTGCTATTATGCAAGAACAATTATTAAGTTGGTAGGTAGCTCAGTCGGCAACGCACGCACTACGCAGCCATGGTGGAAGGCTACGCAGCGGTCTTCGGGCCCAAGACAGCGTTGTCGTGGAGTTCGGACCATAAAACCTTAGATAAAACCTACAACTAAAACCATGATAAAACATACTCCCTTAGAAGGTTTCTCTTCTTATGGATTAGCTGAACACAATTGTATTGTGCCCGGTGCAGTGTAGAGGCTGAGGAGTATGTTTTATCCATGGTAGAAGTCACGTTTAGTTTAGAACATGTTTCTTGTTATTTCAGTAATTTATACCACGCAACCAAAAATCCATATAATCATAAACAATAACTCGTCCCTTAGTTGTATAACCAAACCAAACCAAAGTAAAGCACAACTCATAAAATTAACCCTAAAATAATAGAAACAATATTTTGTCAGCACTAGTGATCAGTGTCGCCAACAATTATCAATCAATCAATAATTATCAATCATTGAGATGGGGACGCCACCTAGGTGCTTATTTTAACCTAAATATGAGTGTAGAATGGTGTGTGATGACTTGTGTTGCTTTGTTTCTGACTAAGATCAGCTGTTTCATTAGTCAGGATCATTTATTTAAACCCCAATGATCAGGAACAGCTGGGTCCAGTTTCGATAACCATCAAAAAGCTTACGACTTTTCTCAGGATCCATGGTGGAATTCTAGTAATCGTGGTGGAATTCCTTCCCCATGCTCAGGATGGAACCACAGCGACCTTTTGACTACTAGGTGAGCACTATATACAGAGTGGCTGAAAAGTAACTAGCACCCCCACTTAACTTTTCAACCTTTTGAGATATTTGAAATCGGTTTGCGGCAACCTTCTTAGATATGAGGGGCTACAATAATTATGTTCAATTTTGAAAATTTTGCCCTTAGGGGTAGCGGAGGTAGGGGGTAGCTCAAAATTTTCGAATGACAAGTATAGTCAAGTTTGGTATCATTTTACAGGTCTTGACGAAACCTAAACATTGACATAAAGAAAACAAAAATCGGCTCTCTAATAACAAAATTGCGCCCTAAAACGTTTCAAATCCAAATAACCATGAGGGTGGCTAAAAATTAACTTGCACCCTCTTTAACTTTGTTACTATTTGAGATATTTGAAATCGGTTTGCGGCAACTTGTTTGGATATGAAGGGCTACAATAATTATGGCCAGTTTTGAAAATTTTGCCCTTAGTGGTAGCGGGGATAGGGGGTAGCTCAAAATTTTCAAATAGCAAGGATAGTCTTGTTTGGTATCATTTTGTAGGTCTTGACAAAACATAACAATTAACATAAAGAAAATAGAAATCATACCATTTATAACAAAATGGCAGTTCAAAATTACTTTAAATAACCATTGTCTCAATCATTTTTAGCTGTCATTTTGTTATTAATGATCTGATTTCTATTTTCTTTATGTTAATTGTTATGTTTTGTCAAGACCTACAAAATGATACCAAACAAGACTATACTTGCTATTTGAAAATTTTGAGCTACCCCCTACCCCCGCTACCCCTAAGGGCAAATTTCCCTTAATTCTTTGTTTGTTCTGTTCCTCCACACCCAATTTCTGTTGATGGGAAGGTACACATAGTTCTTAGTTTTTTTGTTTTCATAAACTTATTTTATTTTCGTTGTTCCTCGTCAATGTCTAGGTTTCAGATCCGTAGAGTGCTATTGGCTGTATTATAGTTTTATAAAAGTTTTTCTTTGGTTCCCGTTGACAAAAGTCTACTTTGTAGCAGTAATTTAAGGGCCCAATAGCACATTCCCCAGTAATAATCTGTGGCGTTTATCTCTACTTCCCTTCCTAACCCACTCCCTTTATTCATTAATCAAAATCATAAAAAATTTAACCAATTGGAATATTAGCTAAGCAACAGGAACCGTCCGCCATGACACTGGTAGTAGGCCCGGTTTAGCCAATGGAATGTAATGGAGAATACGACACAGATATACTACAGATAAAGAGATGTTCAGAAAACAACTGTCGTTTATTTTAGTGTATAGATTTACTGTATACATTTGTAGATTTAAAGATTACAGTAACTAAAATAACGTAAAAATGACCGTTCAGGTCTTTTTGAAAAGCCATATCCTTTAAACTCCAACCATTGAATAACCGAGAATGTAGTTTACCCAAAATGTCCCCACCCCCTTTATTATGGTTAATAATCATGGTTTGACTGTGGTTGGTTTCGGATTAGTAGTACAGTATCATCAACTTTTGGATACGAAGTGTATCAATAGTAAAGGTACAGTATTATTAATCAAGGAGATATAAAAGGAGAAATAAAATAACACAATTGATTTTAAATTATCTTCTTACAGCCTCAGCCCACAAATCCCTGATACAGAAATCAACTATCAATTGGTCTTTCATAATATTTCATATAAAAATGATCGTATGTCGGATACACAACAGTGTGATAAATACTTTAACGATAAATAAAACATCCGTAAAAATATGCTCTTAGCAAACATTGTAAATAATTTACCATCAGTCTCGATAATAAAAACCACAAAAATAAAAACTAACCTCTAACCGGTCCAAAAATCAGACAGGCTAAAAAAACAAAGAAAAACTTACTAAACGATACGTTAATGGAAGATGGATGCAAATATCGATAATAATTACATGCATATCATTATGTCTGATTATGTTTCAACAAGCTTGAGATCTGAAAGTAACTTTTCAGTTTTCTCGACACTATTATCATTATGTCACAGGTAGAACTGGTGTGTAAGAATGATTAGCGGCCGAGGCCAAACTCTTTGTCATCATCCTCGGTTATGTCACCGTACTGCCAGACTCCAATATGGGCCTTCTTTGCTTCGTCTTGTGCTTTCGTGTACTGCTGGAGCTGAAACAACACAACAGATTATGACCAGAGACTAGGTAAAAAAATTGAATATGTACTTGAATAAATTACAATAGTAAAAAATAAACAGAAATCCTCTCCAATTGTATTAAATAATTTTGAGAAATGACAAACTTGAAAGTTAAATTTCTTAGATCACTTATCTCAACTCTAGATCACTTCTTGAGATCGCAAAAAAGTCCATTATTTGTGATTAGTTTCCCGAAATTGCAAATTTTGACAATTCAAATGTGAAAAAATTGTGATTTTGGGCTGGTTTTTATATTTGAATTCCCCAGTTCTTTAAAAAACTCACAAATGATTCCCAGATTTCCCCGTTTTCGGATTAGCTAAACCAATATCTCGCATACTGTGAGTATGTATTTCCGTACTGTCAGTATTGTATATACCGTACTTTATTGTATGTCATGTATTTCAGTATTTCCTCACCAATTTCTGTATCCTCCTGTCCCTCTTGCTAGTGTCGACCAGCAGCAGTCCGTCCTTGATCAGACCTTCGATGATGTCATTGTTGGTTGCCTCATCAGTGAGAGTCACGTACGGTACGGACGCCATTCGATATTCCACGTTAAGCAGGATTGGTTTATTCATCGTGTCCGTTCTCAACGCTTCAATGGCATCTTGGATGTAGTCAGGCTACAAAAAACAAAAATACGCTTAGAGGTTAAGAAAAAACTTTACTTTGATACAAAAATGGTATTTCAAAGATGAGACACAATCATGTTAACAATAATATTGGTCTACAAAAATATTTTGGATAGATCACTATAAAAGCATCAATCTACAAACATTATTATGAATTCAACAGGTTTTTTTTAATGTAATATAAAATAATAGGATGCTGTAAGTGCCTAAATGTATGGTAATTATATGGAAGAGTAAAGTATAGATGTCGTTATTTAGTAAGAAGTATAATAAACTGTTTTCATACAGCTCGCTGCAGGTTACTTTCCAAACAGCTCTCGGAATTATTAAAAATATAAGAGTACTGCTGAGATTACTTACGTCCTGAGGCAGCTTTACACAGGCCAGGGCGTACTCGTGAGCGTAGTACTTGTCCTGGGCGAAGGCTGATGGCAACTGACCCAGACGGGAGAATGGAATCTCATCTCTGTTGCCATAGTCAACGTACAGAACTTGCGCTTTGCCCCCACTTGCCTGTCAACAGTTAACATTTATTTACCTTCTTAACACTCTGTTTGGTATGGAGTTATTACTGATTTGGGTTATTTTATAATATTCAGTTACAGGAGCTTACAATATTATCCTATACTCTTGGGCAATGTTTGCTTGTATGTATGCTTGCTTGCACAAAGATCTCGATAACGGCTTTGACAATTTCCTCTTCAAATGTTGAAAATATTTTATTTCTGGCTTAAAAACCTGATTGACGACAGCCACTACCTCAAAAAAATTTTGCTACACAACTTATTTGAAAATTTAACGTTCCCCTTTTGGGTTGCCAAGTAAATATGATCGTTAAGAACAAAAGACTTGTAACATGTGTCTATTTTAAAAGGCTAATTTAAATAAAATAGTTAAATTAGTACGCACCTTTTCAATTTTTGCTCTGTACCACAAATTGTCTTCAGTAAACTTAGCTGCACACAGGTCCCCTGCAATTAAATTCATGACATGAGTAAGCCTATTCTACAAGTAAAATCTGTATACTTAATACAATAAGTTTTTTCTCTGTATCATCCCTTATTCACCCATCCTACTAAACAGATTTTTACGATTGATAAGTCATTGTAAAGCTTATGATCTAGCGGAGTGACGAATGTTAGCTAAAACGTAATTTGCTTCCGGTCTTCATACCCCTAGCTTTTAGTTTATTTCTAGAGTTCGCTTTCAA